CCAACCCCTGGCTGATTTGGTTACTATTTGGCTTGGGAAGTTGCTGAGGAAAAATGTAAATAAAACTGCTGAGAACAATTGGCTGGTGAGTGTGTGTATGTTGGTGGGGTAGGGAGGAATAGAAAAAAAGGGTAGCACAGGAAATCTTTACTTGTGTGTAGTGTTATGTCTTTTGTGTGTGCATATGTCTTGCCTCTAAGCTCTGTATTTCAGTTGAAACTTGTTTCTGAAGCTGTTAGTAAAACTGTGTAGTATTTAGACCCCAGTTTGGAGGAATTCATATCTATTATGTTCAACTACTGGCAGGCTTTTTTTCCTTTTTAGGGACTAGTGTAAGACTGTGGTGAATACATTGCTTGTTTTGGCAGGTTAATATATGTGTGAACAAAAGACTATGAGCCTGATCGTTACTAAGTATCTCACTATTTATACAATTGTGAAATATAGTTGATGGCTTTTTTTGATGTTTTTAATTTTTAATTATTTTTATTTATGATAATTTATTCACCTTATTTTGTATTATAGTTTATTCACTATTCACCCAGCTCTAGCGCCCTCCCTTGTCCCCGATGGCTTTGTTTTTTTCAGTGTGTATTTGTTTAGAGACAAAGTCTGCTTTGGAGCCAGCCCAGTAGGACTTATGATTGATCTTTCTGCTTTATAGATTGTGTGTGTGTGTGTGTGTGTTCATGTTCATCCATTCACTGTCTAGAGGAAACGTAGTCATTTCCTGTTCTTAGATCATTGAACAGATTGGGTAGTACTCTGTGAAGAGTGCCAAAGTCCAGGACTGGATCCTATAGGAGATACTCAAGCCAGTTTGAGGGACATTAAAGGCAGGCCATAGGAACAGGTCTTGAGTTAGACTATGGAGACAGTAAAGATGACATGTGTATTGAAAAGACATGTATAACTTTAGAAAGAAGTGAAGTCCCTTTCAGTCTACGCTGCAAACTATGATAAGGTCTGTGTCTAAACACACCTATACACCTCCAGAACCTAGTTTGCACAGTTTCATGAGATCCTTGATTTGTTTTGTGATACAGGGTCTTCATCCTCTTCCCCCAAGATGGGGTTTTCTCCGTGTGGAACAAGCTAATCTTGAACTCAGAGACCTGCTTGCCTCTGCCTCTCCAGTGATGGGATTAAAGGCGTATGCCCTTTAATCTTACATAGCCTAGATTTCTAATTCTGATATCTCTATTACAGTCTCTTTGGTGCTGGGATTATAAGTGGTTGCCACTACACCCAAATAAGCATTGCTGAGGATTGGAACCTAGGGCTCTCTCATACTAGAGAATATTCTACCATTGAGCCAAATTCTTGGCTCCTAGAGTTCTTTATACCAGCAGTTTTCTTGTTAAAGCACAAATACTCTACCCAGAGTGTACACACATACTTGGATGTTGCCTGGCAGTTGTACTTGAGTATTAATTGATTCTGTCCTCCACAAGTTAAGAAGTTGAAAGAGGTAAAAAAAAGATAGCCAGGGCTGAGGCACAGAGTGTCAGCTGGCACTAAGATGGTATGAAGGGAAAGAGAAAGCAGAGGATTAGACTAGGTGAAAGTATAGCTAGTGTTTTTATATTTTATTATGAGGCTGATCTTTTACCACTATGCTAAATGGTTCCCAATATACTTTTGGAAGGGGAATGTATCTCCAGGTCTGTTTATAATGCTAGTCTCTAAATTCAGACACCTGCAAACATTTCTTAGAGATTCTGTTATATCACTTTGCTTTCAAGTAAAACCTTCTTTATACTGCTTTTCACAACATTGTGATGTTTAACCTCAATTGTCAACTTACTAGGATTGAGAAATAGACAATCAGTAAAAAGTTCACACCTATTGTATCAGTAACCTTTCATGAGACAGTTATATAATGAAGGCATTGACCGGACAAATAGGTCCCCCCCCCCTTTTTTTTTTTCCAGAGCTGAGGACCAAACCCAGGGCCTTGCACTTGCTAGGCAAGTGCTCTACCACTGAGCTAAATCCCCAACTCCTAGATTCATCCCTTGATGGAGTCATATTATAATGACATTGGTGGGAAGTGGTGAGATATAGGAGATGGTAGTTTGCTGCAGGAGTGAGGTCATGGTAGTGTGTGTCCTTGGGGGCTGTATTTTTGTGGCTCCTTTCCTTGCTCTTTTCTGTTTCTTGCTTGCCAAATAAGAGTGGCTGTGTGCTGCTTTGTTGTCTATCTGATGACTGAAACAGTGGGATAAAAATAATTCCTCCGTTTATAAATTTTTTTTATTATCTGCTATATTCCATCTTAGACCTCAGGAGTGTAGACTACCAGCCTTATTACTTCCAGAACTGAGCATCCCTACACTGATTCCCAAAGATGCTTGAATCTTTGGTCTTCTGATATAATGAGATTGAATTTAGGGCATTTGTGTGTGCTAGGCAAGCATTGTATCACTGTGCTGTATCTGTAGTCCTGTGCTTCTGAATAAGGAGTACTTGACAAGTATATGCTTGCACAGGTAAAGAAGCCAAATGTCAGAGAGTATAACCTCTTCTTGGACCAGGTCGCAAAGCTTAAAAACAGCCACTCTTATAGCCAAGTTCAGGCTCAAGTATGGTATAGGTCCAATGGTTGCTGTAGTTTTATGGTTTGGAAATCCTTCATGGGTCTCTAAAATATTTTTAAATACACTTGGTTATTTAAAAGATAAATTTGTAGCCAGGTGTGGTGGTGCATGCCTTTAATCCCAGAACGCTGGGAGGCAGAGGCAGGCGGATCTCTGAGTTTGAGGCCAGTCAGGGCTACACAGAGAAACCCTGTCTGGAGGGAAGTAGGGGGAGAGGGGGAGGAGACTGGAGAAGTTGGGGACAGTTAGCTGGAATTCCAGTTGAACTTCACCTTGAGGGCTCAGCTTCCCCTTGGCTGAACTCTCTGACTTGTCTTTCTTAACTGCTCCTAACTGTATTTTCTTTATCCGTCATCTGTTAATGACACTTGGGTGATCCCATAACTTGGTTTCTTGAATTCTACACTGAAATGTAGACACCTCTTCCATTACAGATCTTGTAGATGAATACCAGAATTGAGAGTGGTGGATCCCCACACTGCTTTGATTACTATAGGTTTTAGAATGTTTAAAATGTAGAGGTGTGAGTCCTCCTACATTTTCTTTCACAGGATTGCTTTGTTATGGGTTCCTTACATTTCACATGGGTTTTAGGATCAGCAGATGAGTTTATGGGGGCGGGGGGAGCATGTATCTTTGGTTGGCTTCCAGTTTCTGGGATTACATGTATGCGCTGTCACACCTGGCTTTTTTATACTTACTTTGTTAAACTTATTATCCAGTTTTGTTTTTCTTTTTTTTTTTTTAATGTTTTATTTATTATTTATACAGTATTCTGCCTACATGTATGCCTGTAGGCCAGAAGAGGGCACCAGATCTCATAGATTGTTTTGAGTCCATCATATGGTTGCTGGGAATTGAACTCAGAACCTTTGGAAGGACAGCTAGTGCTCTTAACCTCAGCCATCTCTCCAGCCTGTTTTTTTCTTTTTTATGATATAGCATCAGTGACATTATTTCTTCATTTTGTTTTCAGATTGTTTATTGTCACTGTATAGAAATACAGTTGATCTTATACCTTCAGCCTTGGAACTCTGACCAGTTAGTTGTAAGGGAATTCTTGTGGATTCTGTAAGATTTTATGTAAGAACATTTAATATGCATATGGAGATAGTTTTACTTTTTTCTTTATAATCATGATATATGTCATCTTTTCTCATTTTTCTTCCTTCCCCTTTCTCCTTCTCTTAGTTTTTTCCTGTCTCTACCTAGTTTCCTTACTAGCAGTTCCAGTACATTTATTTACACAGTGGTGAAAACATATCTGGTGTTCTCATCTTGGGGGAAAGCTTTTGTCGTCTGTCCTTTATTGGAGTGAGTGCTTTCCTGATTTTTAATTTATTGAATCTTTTTTCTTTTTCCTTTTAAATCATGAAGGGTTGTTAGGTTTTGTCAAATACATTCTGTTTGTTCCGTTCATTAAAGTGATCTTGAAGCTCTTGCCGAACTGATTTTCATGCACTGAACCAGCCTTGCATTCTTTAGGTAAGCTGCACTTAAGTAGGCATGCTACTGGATTCAGTTTGCTTGCTTTTGTTCAGTTTTTACATCTATATCTGTAAGATAATTTTCATTACATGTTTAGGTGTTGAGCAGTATTGGCCTCACAGAATAAATTAGGGAAACATAGTTTCAGGGGTTGGGGGACATGCCACCTTTGTATGGTGTTGGGTCTTGATATACTTTTAATCTAGGAAAATACTGTCTTCTTACTTCAGGTACCCAGGTGACCACTCAGCACGTTGATCCTCGCCTTTGGTAGGTATTGACTAAATATGAGACCTTTGTGTTTATTCATGGTGAACTTTGCCCATCTCCATTCTGCCTGAGTCTAGGAGGTTGTCAGGACTCTTTAAGTGCTGCTCCTAATAATTTTCAGGGCTGTACTGGCTCTGTTTGCCATCTCTCTCTTGCAGTGTTGTGACTGTCTATTAAAAACCACCACAAAAGAAAGTTTTATAGCTGGCTTGGAAACAGTGGAAAAAATTCAAAGAGCATCTCTAAAAAACAGTTCTTTTGATAGCTTTTTTTTTTTAGGTCATGAAAAGCAGAACTGATTTGGTTTATCCTTGTGTTTTCAACATCAGAAGCAGCTATTTTAAGATTTTTTTTTTCTTGGAAACAACATGGGCAGTATCTCGGTATTTCCTTTGTTGTTTTGCGTTGATACCTCAAAGTTCAAGTTTGTCATTCAAGGCACAGCAAGAGCAAGAAGCATGCTCCTGCTGGGCATGGTAGCGCACACCTGTAATCCTGGTACTTGGGAGGTAGAAACAGGAGGGCCAGTAGTATAATAGTTGAAGGCCAGCATGGACTTTAATAAGACCCTGCATTTAAGAAAGAAAGAAGTCCTTAGGAAATCATTAGGTACCTTCCTAAGCCCTATGTTCTCATCCACAGGTACCACGTACACAGACCACTCGGCCGGAATCTCCAGGGATGACCAGCCCCTCCCCACGCATCCAGATAATTTCCACCGACTCTGCGGTAGCCTCTCCTCAGCGCATTCAGGTATTCGTGTCAGTTCCACTGGGTTTCTTCATTCTTTCCAAAAAACAAACCTGCCTAAGAGTTTTACTACAGACATCAAATACCGTGTGAGCTCATTTGTTTAGAAAGCATCAGGTAAAAGCTTGTATGTAAGTTACTTTTAAAGCAAAAGTATGAACTATTGCTTCAAAATACTAGATGACATATCATTTTATTATTTACTAGCTTCTAAATTGAGAGGCAGTATATATCCTATTAGGATCAAGGACCCCTCTTTGTAGTTACATCCAGTGTCCCCACTTAGTAGGTTTTTCAGTTGGGTCAATCACAATTTTAATGCTTTACTTTTCTATTTGCAAAGTAGTAGATCTTGCCCTGAATCAGCAAGTTTAATGCTTTTAAGATGCTTAGAAAGGTATCGTATCAATATATATATATATAAAGGTATCAATATATATATATATATATATATATAGAACGTGATTATGTATATATATATATAAATAAAATCTATACATGGTAACTATTATTACCATTATTATTATCTAATTATTACTTACGCAGGGGTAGGACTGTGAATCTGCCTTTAATTCACTTTTTCTAATCTTTTGAACAAAAAGACTTTGGAAATTATAGCAAGAAGCTGTGAGGAAGGGATAATGTATTGGTGTTTGATTACCCAGCTGAACCATAACATATGAAGAGATGAACAGCTGAAAAACACCTGTTACATGAGTATGAAAAATAGCAACAGGATGCCTCAGCAAGTAAAAGCACCTACCAAGGAACCATTGTGGCTTGAGCTCAGTCCCTGAACCAACACTGGAAGGAGGAAAGAGCAGACTCCCAAAAGATGTCCTCAGATCTCTACATGGGCAGCAAACCATGCATGCACCTTAACTCATATACATATTACACAAGCATGTGTGCACTCGCATGCACACACACACACACACACACACACACACAAACTCACAATAATAGGATTAAAAAATTTTAGGATTTAAAAGCAAAATAATTTGTGTTTTCAGTGTTAATGCAAATGGCCTCAGTGATGTCCTCGTTCTTAGCCCATGCTTTGTCAGTAAATGTTGCATCCCCTGCAACGTTTTTAACAATTCAATGTATGACAGCAATACCTAAAACCTAAGTAGTGGTGTCTCTTGTAAGGTTAAGAAGGAAAGATGTCAGATTAGACAATGTTTAGTCTGAATTAACAGACCTAGGATCCAGTCTTGTGACCAGTCAGCTATATGACCCAGGCAGTTTCCAAAACCTTTGTTTCTGTACAGTGTCACTATGGACATCTGAGTGCAGGATGAAGTGCAGATGAACACCAGGAAAAGCTAGCAGTTGTGCTTTTACTTGTTTTTGTGTTTATGTTTTACAATGGGCTCTCCTGTAGTTGAGGCTGACCTCCAGCTTTCTTTGTGTCTGAGCCTGGACTTGAAGTCTTGATTTTTATGAATGACTCCACATTCCCAGTACAGGCTAGTACTAACACACCTAGTTTTGTACTATAGCTTTCACTGTCCTGTTTTTATACTGCTTCAAATTTACAGGAAATAATAAATAAAATTGTTATAACCTTTACCTAGATTCACTAATTGTTTGCCACCCAATCATGAATGTATGTTATATGTAATAGTTCTTATTGATTTTATCACAAACTACAGGCATCATTTCTTTGCACTGGATCAATCACAGAGATTTCTTAAGAATGATGACATTCTCTTAAACAAATCATAATTATGTAAAGAAATACTAATACTGAAACATGCCATTGTAGGATCTATAATCCTCATCCCACAATTTCCAGAATTGTTTTTATGAGTTCTCCCCCCCCCCCCCCCCCCCCCCCCCCGGGGCTATTTGACAGTATTGATTGTGATACTACTAATTAGATGCCAGTCAACAAAAGACACCATTCCTTGTTGTGCAGGCTAGCACAGGTGACCAGAAGGATTGCTGGTATTGTGTTGTTTGGCCCTAGCAGTACAAAGATTTTAAGGAGGAAGAGGAGGAACACAGTCTCTCATTGGAGGAAGAGCTGGGACTGAGAGCTGCTGCTTTGATGATAGAGATGTAGGGCAGGAGCTCTGGAGGTGATGGAGGGCACAGGAAACATTAGGTTCAATTTTTTACTTTTTAATCTGGCTTTTAAAAGGAAAGTAAGTTCAAAGGGGGAAGGTATTGCATACTGTTCCATTTTGGAGATGATTGAGTTTTTCAGCCTTGTTTGTTCTTTTGTAGTAAACTTTGTAAGAATTCTCTGCATGTTTTGAGATTCTCCTGGGGTCTCCATCTCCCCCTTTTTCATTTGATGCTTTTCAAGAAAGCATTATTGTAACCATTGATGAACTTAAATGTGTTTCTAGAATACATTTACATATATAACATTTAACTATATTAGATTGAGATTCACATACAATTTTGTTAGGAAGGACTTTGTAATTACATGGTTTTTGTTTCATGTTTTTCTCCTCTCCTCTTGTTTCCTTCCCTCCCCTCCCCTCCTTTCCCCTTCCCTCCTCTCTCCTTCTGCCTCTCCCCTCTTCTCTTCTCCCCTCTTCTCTTCTCTCTTCTCTTTCTCGTCTTCTCATCTCCCTCTCCCCCTTTTCTTTTTTTCTTTTCTTTTCTTTTTTTCTTTTCTTGTTTGAAATCGGGGCTCTAACAGCCTTTTTATACCTTCTTCCCACTTGCCGGTAGCATTGTTTTTTAAGCCTATCTATTTTTTATGATTGTCTTCATAAAGGGGCTTTTAATTCCAAAAATAGTAAAGATAGGATCCTAGAATAAAATAAATTATGAAAAAATTAGTTTTGAAAAGCTCACTATATATTTTTTACTTTGCCATAGAACTTGTATTACTTTTCTTATTGTTCTGGCGAAATACCAGATGAAGTTAAATTTACAAAAAGAAGGGCTTTTATTTTGGTTTACAGACTTAGGGTACAGTCATCATGGTAGAAAAATTATGGCAACAGAAAAATAAGATGGCTGGTCCCATTACATCCATAGTCAGGAAGTAGAACAGATTGATTGCTGGTGTTCAGCCCATTTTCTCCTTTTCATTCTATTCAGTCCCGGGTTCATGGAATGGTACTATTCACATTCAGAGTGGGTCTTCCCTGAATAGTTGAATCTTTCTGGAAGGACTCCCATAGACACCCAGAGGTTTGTTTCCATAGTGTTTCGAAATCTCATCAAGCTGACAGTGAAGATTAGCCATCAGAACTGGTGAAATATATTTTAGACCAGCATTGATTCTAGTGATCACCTCCTGAGTGGTGCCTGCAAGTACACACTTCTGAAGACACACCATGCAAAGGGGCTTCCATGTTGTATTCTGTAGATTGTAACAGACCAGCAGACAGGACAGAAGATCCAGATAGTCACCGCAGTGGACACCTCTGGATCCTCCAAACAGCAGTTCATCCTGACCAGCCCAGATGGAGCTGGAACTGGGAAGGTGATCCTGGCTTCTCCGGAGACATCCAGTGCCAAGCAGCTCATCTTCACCACCTCGGACAACCTTGTCCCTGGCAGGATCCAGGTAAGGCCTGTCAACAGGTGGTTATTACTGTATTTGATAGTGAACCACTTCTCAGTTCAGTTTTGTCTTGCATGGAGGCCAAATCAACTACTAGTAGGGCCTTTGGGGATTTACAAGCATGGTGGGATTTTACAAGTTAAAGCAAAAGCCAGGAAATTAAGTGGCCACACCCAGAAGACAATCAGTGGTAACAGTAAGAGAGTATAGAAGCTAATCCAAGGAAAAGATACAGGTTTAAGCAAGACGGTAGGCCACTGGAGAATTGTTCTTAAAAGACCACATAGTAGAAACCATTAGCCTCTGATATCTTTATGGCATTCCCTAGAGCTGACCATGGCTAAACAAGAACATCTGCTCTTACTTCTATCTCATGTAGGTGGCCAAGCCTGGGACCAGTTCTTCAGTCTGATCTCACATGTTTCCAGGCACTTCTTTGTACTTTCTATCTCCAGCTCTGTCCTACTTACCTCTATTCTGAGAGGAAGAAAGAAGATGGGATTCGGGGAGCCACAAAAATACACTCAGACACTAAAGGAAAGCAGGGCCAGTTGTGAAGTTGGAGGCTCCATGCCAGTGTCCCAGAGTGACCAGGCATGGACAGGTTTTGACATAATTGAGGAGGAATCTATGTTTTGTTTTTATTTTAAATTTATTTAATTGGCACCGTTTGCCGACATTTTAGATCGTCACGGATTCTGCTTCTGTGGAGCGTTTGCTGGGGAAGGCAGACGTCCAGCGGCCCCAGGTGGTGGAGTACTGTGTGGTCTGTGGCGACAAAGCCTCAGGTATGTGGCTTCTGGCATGTATCATAGAGCAACAATGTGACCTTTTATAGGGTAGGGAAATGGTTAGTTGAGGAAACATTATATGTAGGTTTCAAACATTATAAGCAAAGTAGTTTGTCATGTTATTCAAATCAAACGTTATTCAAATCAAAAAACTGATTTGTTTCCAAGTATTTATATGCTATTAAGTAAAACTTTCCCTTATCTTGTTTGTTTTTCCTAAGGTGTGTTTTGTGTATAATTCCACTTACCTAAACTCTCTCACTTTTCTTTTTATCTTTTTACTCTACCCTGTGTGATAAGCTTCTATGATGCAGGAGTAGACACCATGCAGTCCCCTTGGGAAAGTATACACAGGTGCATACACATGCATCCCGAGTGAAGACCCAAGACCTCTAGGATGTTATTTAGCTCTATGCTTCTGGTGTCCTTCAAGGAGAGCCTGAAGGCTTCCACAGTTAGGACTCTGGTGAAAGGAAACAGGAGGCTTGCTAGCACTGACAAGCTATAGAAAGTAAGTGAGGCAGGAAGGCATGGAGTAGGAATGGAGAAGCTCAGGGAAGCTGGGGCATAGACCTGAGTTCTGAGGCAGCTTTGTTCCATTCAGGAAGTCTGGAGGTTTTATTGTCCTGGATTTAATTTTGTCTTTTTGAAAAGGGGGTTGGACCAAACCTAGGAAGATGCCTAAGCAATCATCTTCAAAAGCTCTGATTTTTCCCTTTAAGCTGGTTGTATTGTTTCTCTACCACTGGTGCCTACTTCTGAGCCTACCTTTTATTTATCTTGGTAAAGCCAGCCTATCCTGCCCTGGAAGCAGGTGCACAGTGCTGCCATTGGTCCTGAATGTCTTTCTTCAGACATCTTAGGCATCTTGTACATTCTCCTATAATCTTGTACATTCTTGTACAAGAATCTTATACATTCTCCTATAATTGATATGGACTTTGCCACTGAGTGTTTGAGCAAATCTCTGCCTGTTAAACAAGGAGACACACTTCACAAATTTTGAATACATGAAACAGGAACAGAAACAGCCAAAGACTGCCTTGTTCATCAGGGCTCTTCTAAGCTTCAAAGGAAGACCTCATCACATAACCTTATAGTGCCGCTGTCTTCAGCTCTTAGAAGTCACTCAGATATAGCAAGTTCAAGGAGACATTGTAAGGAAGGTCAAGGTAGTGTTCACAAGGGGTCATTTCAGTACCACAGTGCTTCAAAAGAAAAGGGAAAATGAGATCCTTCAAGTTACCTCTGTAGTCACTGTGATGTGAAGTGTCCTCCTAACAGTTGAGTCTGAAGCTCTGGAAGCAAGAGAAGCCCAGTATGTGCACATACAGTCTTAGCTGCAAGGTTCTGCTGATGTACAGGAGCATTTATCAGCTAGGAAGGGTGAACTAAGGTGTCATTGGCTAATGGCTACTGTACTCTTAAGTAAATGAGAGTAGAGAAGTAAGCTGTGATTTGTAACCATGTTTCTTGAAGGGCTTGAGTTCACTTAAAGGGATGCTTAAGGACAAGGACATGATTCAGAGAGAAAACAAATATGTAGGAATGACTAGGCTGTTTAGTCTGGCAGTAAGCGTGGGCACCAAGCTGTTTCTATAGCCAAGGTATGCACACTGGAGCAGTGTTGCCTGAGCCTCTCTGTGTGTTAGGATGGTTGTGTGCCAAGGGCAGTCATATCATTTATGAGCTTTGGATTTCCATCATGACCTTGCAAGATTACTGTAGCAATGTAGACACATGAGGTAGATGTATTGTTGGGCTGCCATTAACCCCTGTGGTGGCAGCATCTGAGAAGGTATACTCCAGTGGGAACAGTCCTGGGACAGCTCAACTCTGCTCATGATGAACCAGATCATGTTCTCACTTCCCTCAGGCCGTCACTATGGGGCTGTCAGTTGTGAAGGTTGCAAAGGTTTCTTCAAAAGGAGCGTGAGGAAGAATCTGACCTACAGCTGCCGGAGTAGCCAAGACTGCATCATCAACAAGCACCACCGTAACCGCTGCCAGTTCTGCCGGCTAAAGAAGTGTCTGGAGATGGGCATGAAGATGGAGTGTAAGTAGCACAGCCCACTACAGTTAGTAAACACCAGCTAAGTAAGGTGTTTGCCTTTGATTTAAAATGAGTGGGGGAAATACCCACGTAACCTTCACTGTGCTATACCTTTTGGGGCAACCAAGTGACCCAGAGCTGACACTGCTGGTTTTGTCAGTCTCCATGGTATGTATGAAAACACTTTTCTAGATGAGTCAGAAAACCGGGAAAGAGGAATGCAGAGTAGGTAACAGCAGCTTCAAATTAAAGCTGAGCCAGGTGCAGTGATGCACAACTGTAATCCCAGCAATTGGAGAGGTAGAGGCAGCCAGATCTCTATTAGAGGCCAACCTGGTCTACACAGCAAGTCCAGGACAACCATAGAAACACAGAGAAACCCTGTCTCAAAAAACTAAAAAGGAAGCAAAATAAATAAAGCTGAGACCAAGTCATTCCAGCCCCGCTACCAAAATGCAACCAGAACCATGCCTCTCAGTCCCTTGGCCGCATCTGTGACCCAGCGCTCCCTTCCTTTGCTATAGCCTTTAAGTTCTAAAGAAGGCCCTCAAGTGGGAGCAGCCACAGAAGGGCTGAAACCCTTCTCTCAGCAGTATTTCCAAATTATTCCCTCATCTACAGGGACCATTCATCAGGTCAGGTTCTGATGGTGAAATGATAAGAACCAGGTTCTAAAGTAAGCAAGACAGAGCAGTCAAGGTGAACAGTGCTGTGCTCTTAAGAGTACAGCAAGGATGGAAAGGAACAGAGTCAGTGCCCATTACAGACCAATAGTGCCACATAGCTCCTGGGAAGATAAGAGCCAATGGATTTCAGTATTGTTTCTCGTTCTCAGAATGAGAATGCAAAATTTACTAGGGAACAAGTATGCTCACAACCTGTTCTACCAGTCAGTACAATATATGCATGACTAGGTTAGTATGGGGCTGCCCTAGCATATTGTCAGGTTGTCCTTAGTTGTGAGCAGTGATGGGACTAAACTTGGGCAGTCACAGGCATAGCTGCAAACTCAAGATCCAACTACATTTCAGCTTAGTAGAAGAGCATCTGGATCCAAGGCATGGTCATCTCTTGCTTCTAAGGACAGTTTGTGGGCTGGCAAGATGGTTTGTTGTGTAAAGTGCCTACTGCGCCTAGCATAAGGATCTGAGTTGTGATCTCTGGCACCCATGTAAAAGCTGGTGGTGTTACTTGTGCCTATGAACCTACTACCACTAGGAGTGAAGACAGGTGGATCTCGAAAGTTTGCTGGTCAAGCCAGTCTAGCCAATCAGTGATTTTCATGGTCATCAAGAGACTCTGAATCAAAGCAAAGATGGAAAGCAATAGTAGAAAACTTTCAGTGTTGACCTCTTGCCTCTGTATATACATTTTCAGTACACCCCACCACCAAGATCTGCATTTTCTTCAGTTTCTTGGAACAAACACATCCCACCCCAAACAAACAAACACAACAACAACAACAACAAAAAAAAACAACAGGGTTTTTCTGTGAAGGCTTGGCTGTTCTGGACTACTTTGTAGATCAGGCTCACAGAGTTCCTCCTGCCTCTGCCTCCCTGAGTGCTGGAATTACAGGCATGTGTCACTGCGCCCCAATATGAGTCATTTGAAAGTTTTTTTTTTTTATTTTAAACATATATGTGTGTGTGTGTGTGTGTGTAGGTAGGTGTAGGTGTGTGTGTAGGTGTCTATGTGTACTGTGTACATGTGAATGCAGATACCTATGGAGGCCTTGGATCTTCCTAGAGCTGGAGTTAGAGGCAGTTGTGAGCTGTCTGAAATGAGTGTTAAGAATTGAACTCTGGTCTTCTTCAAGAATAATGTTCTTAGCTGGGAGAGAAATTGCTGTATACAGTTAATAGCCTTCAGTTTGCTGAAGCTCTTCAGGCTGGAATTGAGCTCTTGGGGATTGCTCTGCCATTTGTGGTATGAAATAATCTATGTGAAGGGTCCACTTGAAGATAGGCATTTCTAATCCGGGGCTGAGCTCAACTGATTACAGAAGTGAAAAACCCAGGGGAATTTATTGCCCTTCTTAGGTCACACCAGAAGGCAGTTTCTCAGCAAGGCAGCATCTGCCATCTTGAGCCCTCTGTATACCTTTAGGTTTACATTGGGGTTAGTTGATTTTGACTCTTCCCATTGGTTGGAAACCCCTTAGTGACCAAACACCAGTTACAGATCTGCTAAGAGACAACTTTACTATGTTACGATGTCTATTCATTTGACTCTTTTTCTCTAAATGAGAAAAATGTTATAAATGAGAATATATGTTATGATTTAAGCGGTACAGAGTGAACGGAAGCCCTTTGATGTACAACGGGAGAAACCAAGCAATTGTGCTGCTTCGACTGAGAAGATCTATATCCGGAAAGACCTGAGAAGTCCTCTGATAGCCACTCCAACGTTTGTGGCGGACAAGGACGGGGCAAGGTCAGTCTCCTGTTCTCACATAACAGCACTAATTGGCCTACAAACTGGCCTGAGGAAGTGCAAATATCTCTGGGAAGGACACACAAATGGCTCTCACCTGCCTGGCTATAGCCCTGGCATGTCTCACTCTCTTTTGATCCATTTAACATTGCTGAGGGTCATGGTAGAGCACAACCGATTCTGCAGTTTAGTTCAGGCTTCATTTATACAGGAAAATAGATGTCTATAACTCAAAGTACAGACCTTTTATTTTATACAGTACAGACCAAAGACCCAAGGTGAAGAAAGGACTAGGTAATTCCACAAGCTAGCTTCTACATTCTTTTTTAACACACACTGTTGAACTGGTTTTAAAGAGAACAGAAATAAGGAAAACCAGAAATCCAAAATGTATTATACAAAGAGCTGAAGTTGAGGGTCTCTGACAATTTTTTGAATATCAGTTTAGCTTTGGGAAGAATAGCCACAGTTAGTGTAGAAGGCCTAGGGGTAGGCATTTATGTTCTGTCCTCCCTCAGCCTGTAGCCTGGCTTTGTGAAGAACTCATCTGCAAGAGCAGGCAGCTGGCCCTTCACCCTTGGCTCAGTGTTAGAGCTTTTTCTCTTGGCAGACAGCCTTGCAGATATGAAAGTCAAGTGAATGCAGCATTAGCATACTGTGCAGAAATTGTTAGAAGCTACTCTGGGTTTCTTTGTCTTAAATAGACAAACAGGTCTTCTTGATCCAGGGATGCTTGTGAACATCCAGCAGCCTTTGATACGTGAGGATGGTACGGTTCTCCTGGCCACGGATTCCAAGGTAACATTCTCTTTTCCTGTGTGTTGTAGTGCAGGCTACTTTGGCCATCAGAGATGATGCTGAAAGCTTAGACTCATGTAGCTCCATTAATTTTTTGTGATAATAGCCATCCTAGGACTTGTTCTAAAGATGCTGGTGGCTTTTCGGACACCCCAGTCATAGTTGAATGGCTACAGTCACTATCACACAGCAGCTGTGTGGATAGCCTATGGTTCTATTCCCTATTAATTTATTCCCTTTGTTACGTTATTTGTTGGTATGCTACCAGCATGCTGGGAAAGTAGCTATTTTTTCCAAGGCAGCCTTTTGCAGAAGCTCCAGTTCCTTTCCATTACATTAGATAATCTGCAGTAGCCTGACAAAAGAGGCAGAGAGAACAAACTTGTAGTTTGAGATGTCTGTTGGTACAATAGGTCATCTCTTATGTGGTGACCTACACAGTATTCTGTGGTTCTGTCATAGTTTATTAATCAGTTTTGTGCTTAAAACTTTGGTTTTAGTTTTTTTTTATTTCTGTTACCAAAACATAGGCATGTGCGCACATACATACATACACACACACAAACATGGTTGGCACTTTCTCCTCAGCACCTGAAGTATCGTTGAAGTTTTGATTTATATCTCAGGTAAGGTTTAACACAATTATTGGCCTCTGTACATCTTTGGCAAAATGTCTTTAGATCTGTCCCTTTTAAAATTAGGTTATCTTTGTATTGTGTTACTGAGATCTTTCAGAATTCTGGCTATTACACCATTGTCAGATGTGTGACTTACAATATTTCCTCCCTCTGTTTTTTTGTTTGTTTGTTTGTTTTTTTAACTACTTTCTTAATATTTTCTGAGGCATAAAAGTTGTGGTTAGAGATACCTACTTTATCTATTTTTCTTTCATTTAATCACTATGTCATTGCATCACATCTGTGGATGTGTGTGTGTGACCATAACCAAGATACAAAAAAAAAATCCTGATCCATCCTGATCCTGTGGATATACAGGTGTGACTTTATTCACACCTAGAAGCTGGCCTTGAATAAACATATTATCTTCATTTTATTGCCCTTAGGTCATTCACTTGTGTGTGCTAATTTTTAATATTACTTTTTTTTATATTACTATTATTTATAGGCTGAAACAAGCCAAGGAGCTCTTGGTACACTGGCAAATGTAGTGACTTCTCTGGCCAACCTGAGTGAATCTTTAAATAATGGTGACACTTCAGAAATGCAGCCAGAGGACCAGTCTGCAAGTGAGATTACTCGGTATGAGCCCTTCTGATACTCTATATTCCCCAGGCACTGTGCTGTCAGGATGGATGTTATAAATCAACTGTGGGCACCTATACTGGAAGAGGACCCACTTACATCATGTGCCATAGGCAGTCAGAACTATAGTTGATTCCCTACACCAGGGTCTTCATCAGACAAAATGTTCTTTGTCTTGAGCACTACACAGAATAGTGTACCTCTTTCCTGTTTCGATTTGTTCATACCTGTTTTCTGGGTGGCATTGGCTAGTTGCACAGCGTGTTTCTCCCCTGAAGTTTGGCCCTTTGTGTTTTGCTCTTCCATTCTGGCCTTGGTGTCAGGCCAGATAGGTGCTTGGTGGGAGCCACTGAGTCCTCTGCTTGGTCCTCCTGTTAATTTACAATCTTATGGCAATATTCAGATCTGGGTGTACGGGAAAGGACATGGATCTAAGTAGAATCAGCTAGGGCTCTCTTACTGTACTTACCATTGATGTCTGTTTCATTTTTAGGGCATTTGACACCTTAGCGAAAGCACTTAATACCACAGATAGTGCTTCACCTCCAAGTCTGGCAGATGGGATAGATGCTAGTGGAGGAGGGAGCATCCATGTCATCAGCAGAGATCAGTCAACACCCATCATTGAAGTTGAAGGCCCCCTCCTTTCAGACACACATGTCACATTTAAGGTGAGTACACATGTTAAACATGTGCTACCTGTCTCCTCAGTATGCTTGAGCCAGGCACTATACCAATGCTAGTCTACAATGTTAAGTCAGACCTTGTAGCAAATTCATTTTCTAATCGTGGCAGAATCTTGAATTTCAAAGCATATTACTGTTGCTTCTTTATGTAACTGTTTCACAGTGCCATCTGGTTCTGAAAGTGACCCTGCAATAAGTGTGACACATCATTACCAAGACAGACTGCCATGGTGCTAGCCACTGGATCAGGAGCTGGCTGCACTGCCTCTTTCTTGCTATGACAGCAACATAGACTTAGGCAGTCACTTTGCTATCTCTCTACTATGTACAGAAGTCATCAGATAAGCTCATTAGCAAGTAGGCAACCAGACTCTGATTTTAATTAAATTGCCCACTAGAGCCATAGCCATTCTATCTTTGAAGAATACCAGTTGGTCCTTAGTCTTTCCTCATGGTCTTTCTGTGTATGCACTCCTAACAGGGCATCAAAATGCTTTCCAGTCTGTAGTCTCTAAAATGAGTCTCTTGTCTCAAGTCTCTGTGCTGGAGAGATCTAGTCAGTCACTTGGCTAGTTAGGGTCCTTGACTACAGTTGCCCAAGGCTTGCTTCTAAGACACCAGAGCCCTTGTGAATATTAGTGTCTGGAGCCCTGACAGGCTGTTCTTCTAGTGAGGTACTATCTTCTTGCCCAGCACCCTTTCATTATAATCTTGAAGCCATCCTTAAAAACACATGGTCAAATAGTATGACCATACTGTCTCTCCTGTAGCTCTTGTGTCACAGTGCCTCCTATTTTCCAGCTTACAATGCCCAGTCCTATGCCAGAGTACCTCAATGTGCATTATATCTGCGAGTCTGCATCCCGCCTGCTTTTCCTGTCCATGCACTGGGCAAGGTCAATCCCAGCCTTCCAGGCACTTGGGTAAGTGGCCTTTATTCCTGGGTGTCCTTGAATAATGGGAATTGCTCTTCTAGGAATGAGCAGCAAGGTCTCTGAGGTCCTTTTGAGTATGATGGTTCCAACTTAACTCACTCAATGACCCACAGTTCTATTAAGTGTAGTTGAAGGAAACAGTGGAACAAGTTGAAGGAAACAGTAGTTCTTGTGTGTGCCAAAGACTTGTTGCTAGGAGCTGTGTCTGGCCTTTGATAGGAAGAATGTCAGGGCACTGGTTCCTGTTTACACAGTCCCTTGCCTCAGTGTTGGCCAACCTGTGAGGACCACTGGCCTGTGGCCTGTTTGCTTGTTTATGAACATCACTGTTTCCTGTCAGTCCCAATGCCAGCTCTGCTAACTAGGCTGAGTAACTAATGTCCAGTTTGAATATGAAACTGTTGTGGCTTATAGTCTGGCCAGAACATAAAAAGCCACATGATACTGGGAATGAAGTGAATGGATGCATGCTGCAGGGTAATCACCACAGGTAATATGTGAGAAACATTAGGTTGTCCACTGGTTCATAGCAGTGGCCTACAGTAAGCAGATCGGGGTTGAGAATCATTAATGGCATTTGATAGCTATAAGGCTGTGGGAAAGCCATCTCACTTCTGACAGAAATAAAGCACCTTTAACCCAGAGCTGAACATGGAAGGGGATCTGCAGCGTGCTACTGGGTTGAGTATTGTGGCATATGTCTGTGTCCTGTGGCACAGGACATGACAATAGTTCACCTCACTTCGTTATTAAAGGAGAGATGGACAGGTTTGGTTTTTCATTTTCAGGGCAACTGGATAGGCACTAACTGTTGAATAAACATTTGCAAATTCGTGTGAACTCTTAGAACATGTGGGAGACAGTTGACATCTCAGTCATGCAGATGTACTGACACAGCTAAATAGTGATGTCCCTACTTCCCTGAGTGGTTCTTGTTTTTCTATCTGAGCAATTTAAAAGCTTCTCCAATGTCTTTGCCCAGGCTAGTACCTTTAAAGGTGTTTTTTTGTTTTGTTTTTAATAAAACACATACTATTCTTAAATCCTAACAAATAAAAGCTGTACCTAGGAAATGAGAATGGTTCCATGTAGCTGAGTTGAGGCAACTAGAGGAAATAGCTCTGTCTACAGGCTACTTTCTCCAGCTTCCAGGCAGATTGGGAAATTCTCCTGAGTATCGACTACACAAGAGCTGTTTCAGTACCAGCTTTAGCTGTTCTGCCTGCCAGGCTTGTATTCGCTTCAAAATCTGTAGCCAGTGCTTTTCCTTTGATCTGTACAGCTGCTCATCTTTGCTGGAGGACCTGAGTCACAAACACCCATATACTTAGAGCTGAGCTAGGACTAAGAGGATTTAGAATGTTATGGGAAACCTTAATAAACTTTAGTAGAGGAGCTATGGATATGGTTTAGTGCTAGAATGTTTGCTTTATGCATCCCCAGCCCCACAAAAACAAACTTTAGATGGTGTGTATGTGTATAGAAACAAGCTCAAGTATTTTTCTCAGGTACAAGATACATGCTCCCCAAGTAGGCTTAGGGGAGCATGCCTTGGGAGACAGGGCCACTCAATTAGCTAGGTTTGACAAAACCTGAGCCCTAGGAACCTAGGGACTTGCACTGGAGTATGCCCAATGCAAGCATACTCTTCTAGGGACAGCAGGCTGGGAAGCGTGAAGCTAAGGCCTAGCAAGAGAGTCCTATAGATCTCCATCTGTCTTGGCCTCCCCAGTGCTAGGAATTTTAAGTGCATACCACTACTATTAAAGTTTCTCATTACTGGGCCTTGGGAGATGGTTTTGTAAAGAGCCTGTGCAGAAATAGAAAGACCTGAGTTCAGACCCCAAGAACCCATATAAAAGCCAGGCATAGAAGTGGTTGTCTGCAAAACACAAAACTGGGCTGGTAAATATAGATTCCCTGGCGCTCACTGGCCAGCCTGCCTAACCAAATCAGTAAGCACCAAATTTAGTAAAAAGACCCTGTCTCAAGTGGAGTGTGGTTGAGCAAGGCATCTGATGTTGACCTCCAGCGTACATGCAAATGTACACATACATATATACCCATACAGTAATGGACACATACCACACACACATAAAAAAACGTGTTTCTTTTTTTCTTTTTTAAGTTTTTCTTTTTTAACTATGTCACAGCTTGCATGTGGTGATCAGAGGGAAATTGAAGGGTACTGGTTCTCTCCACCATGTGGATTTGGGGAATCAAACTCAAATGGCTTAATGGCAAGTATCTTTAGCTATTGTGCTACCTTGCTAGCCTAAAAAAAGTCTTATAATTTATCATCTAAAGGACTTTTGTGAAAACCTTCACAGACTTACTCAAGGACTTGGTCAATTTTTCTGTGAATGACCTGAACATATAATAGATCATTGTCACACCCTTGCTAGATGGTGGATGGTGCTGAGACTTTGAGTCTGTAGAGCTCACATGCTTAGAGTCAGCCACATGCACCACACTAAGCCTTATCCTTATGTTCCCAGACAGGACTGCAATACCAGCCTGGTACGGGCCTGCTGGAATGAGCTCTTTACTCTTGGCCTAGCCCAGTGCGCACAGGTTATGAGTCTTTCCACCATACTGGCAGCCATTGTCAACCACCTGCAGAACAGCATCCAGGAAGGTAGGTCCTAGGGTTATGGGAGTGGAGTATCTTGAACCAATCTGTACCTAGATAACAAAACCCAGCCTGTGTCAGGGTTGACCCAACTGTTGTGACTGGACAAACAACTCTCCTCTAGTAAGATCTACAGTGGCATCTAACATTTGATAGTCCAGTGGATTAGCATGTGTGGCCCTGCAGAAACTAGATCCTATGTACTGAAGTATGAGTTGTCATAAAAGAATTAAGCCTTGACAAGTACAGGCTGAATTAGCTATATTACTGAGGCAGTGTGGACAGCGAGCTGAATGTAACTACCCATTTTAAAGAAAAGTAAGTTTTTATTTTATGTTTGTGTGTGCAATGTTCACAGATCAAAAGATTGCATCAAATCACCTAGAATTGGCATTACAGAATTGTTATGAGCTGCCACATGGTATGGGAACTGAAATCAGGTTTTGTACAAGAGCACCAAGTGCTCTTAACTACTGAACCATCTCTCTAGGCATAGACACCTCTTATTATTCAATTTCATTTGGAAATGTGCTCTTGACTAGCTTGAAATGACTTGGTTCTCTTTAGAAAGTGAACTTACCTTCATTTGTGTGTGACTCCTTAAAAGACAAGTCTTGTTCTTAGCAGTTTTCCTCAGAGGTTCTGATACTTTTTTCTAGATAAGCTTTCAGGTGACCGGATAAAGCAAGTCATGGAGCACATCTGGAAGCTGCAGGAGTTTTGTAACAGCATGGCGAAACTGGATATAGACGGCTATGAGTACGCATACCTTAAAGCTATAGTTCTCTTTAGCCCCGGTAAGATATGTGGTGGGGACTTGTGACACTTTGCACTGTGTCTCCTGATGTTTCTGAACTTGGCCATGTTGCCACCAATTGTGTAGGCGAGCCTTTCCATGTTTTACATAACTCAGGGTGTTCATAATAAGGGCTTTGATATCTAGCATCAATACATCAGTTGTTAAATGCCTGTCACTACAACCATGAAGAAATGTGCCTGGGGATTCATGTTCTGAACAGATCTGATCTTTACCCTAACCAAGCGAGTGGTTAAATAAGACCACTGTACAGTAGTCATTTTTCTTTGAGCGTATATAATCCAGGCAGATCGAAACTTAGCTTTACTGTCTCTGGATAGCAATATGTCTGACTGTAGCAGCTGAATAGGCAGAATTTCTGGTGGAAACCAAAAGGCACTTGGGCTAGCCTCACATTCTTCCTCTCTACAGCTGTTCTCAAAGCCTCTAGAGAAGTTACTTGGGCTGATCATTAACCTCAACAGCAAGGATTGAATGTAGTATAACCTTTCTCTTCCTCCTCAGACTCCCTACTTTACAACAAAAGTATCAAAAGGAGTCATTATATAATTAAATATCTGGAAAGAGAATATTCCTCATGTATCTTTAGAAATCTCTTTCCTATAGTAAAGAAACTAGTTTAGAGCCAGTGGGGGGGGGGGTGTTAGATTTTGCACCCCTCCTGCGATTCTTGCAGCCTTGGAAAAATACAGAGCAAAGCCCATGTGTCTGACAAGTTCCTAATTCACTGAATCAGCTTTCAGAGTTTGATTGCTTATATTTGATAAGAGTATCAGCAAACTAAAAAGAAAGATTAAGATGTCTATAACACTTTCCAAATACAGAGGAAAACTTGGGGTTTACTTTTCTGTTTTCAGATCATCCAGGTTTGACAGGCACAAGCCAGATTGAGAAATTTCAGGAGAAGGCACAGATGGAGCTACAGGACTATGTGCAGAAAACCTACTCAGAAGACACATACAGGTGAGGCACAAGACTGCCCAACACAGAAAGAAGTGTGTGTGGCTGGGTCAGATTGTAGCAACCTGGCAGAGCCTCTTATAGATCACTGAAATAAGGTGTAGAAATAAGAAAGAGTGCGCAGGGCTGGAGAGATGGCTCAGAGGTTAAGAGTACTGGCTGCTCTTCCAATGGTCCTGAGTTCAATTCCCAGCACCCACATGGTGGCTCACAACCATCTATGAGATCTGGCGCCTTCTTCTGGAGCACAGGTGTACATGCAGGCAGAACACTATACTAAAGAAAGGAAGGAAGGAAAGAAAGAGTGCGCAAAAATAAGCATATGCTAAGCAGGAAGCTTATAACTGCTGCTACTAGTCAGAAAGGGGGTGCTCTTCTGGAATTTAATTCCTTGAGGCTCAGTTCTCACACATTAAAGAGGTGCTCAGTACCCTTGGGGGAAGTTACTTGACAAGAAAGAAATCTGGCCCATATAAAGGAGTGAGTTGCATAAGGTAATTTTGTCCTTAAATAAAATTGGTGGGAAAAAGTCCCTTTACGTAGGTAAGAATTAATTAGCAATATTTTAACAATAGGGTGTGTATTAGCCTCATACAGATTTAGACAGTATAGTTGATCTATCAAAGAATAGAATGTATGACAAGCTTTTCTAACTCTCCTCATCCTCCCAAAGTAAACGAAAATAACAATCCAGATTTGTACACTCTGTGTAGATTTCTGTTGTACCAATGGCTCTAGTGGATTTCTCTGTGTATAGTCAAGACAGTTTTGTGCACATCTCCTTAGCCCAGGTATAGGTTCCTAAAACCAATTTCCACTAGGATCATTGAAGACACTGAGTCACTTGTAAAGAATTACTTCAGTCTCTGGTATATAAAGAGTGGGACTGTCTATTTATGTACTCCTACCCACATTTCCAGTCTGGCCTTGTGTGCAAGGAGATTGTTCCCTTAGGCCACAGTGCTCCCATAGTTCCTATGGTCAGTAGATGGCCCTGGAGTCTACAAGGCAGAACTCCTCACTCTAGAACCAGAATTTGGCAGCATTAGAAAGTAGATGTCTCATTTCCTGACCCAGTTAGGGACTCAGGAAAGAGAGGTTAGAGATGAAGGTACTTAATGGGTGTCAGGGACAGAATGAGGAAAGCTTTCCTACAAGAATCAGAAACCCACTTAGGCATAATCCTAGGGGAGAGCTTTAAGTATATAGCATGTTCTGTTGCAATTCTCTTTTTACATACTTTCTAGGAGTGTGAATGTGTGTTAATATGTGTATGTGTGGGCACATGTAGCAAGGTGCTTCATTGGAGGTCAGGGGACAACCCTTCAGAGTTTTCTCTCTCAGTCCTGAGACTTGAACACTTGGTCAGACTTTTTGGCACACTCCTTTACCTACTGAGCCACCTCACAGCCCACTTTCCAGACTTTCCCTATTTTGTACCTTTTTTCATATTTGATTCTCTTGAAGTACCCTGGCTTGCCTCCTCATTCAGCTTGATGAGGCCCAGCTGAGTTGGCTGGTACTCCGGAAGTCCAGCCTCATTTACCTTGCTGACTTCCTGAAACCACTTGATCTGTTTAACATCTCAGATCAAAAAGAAAAGAAAAAAGGAAAAAGAAAAATTAAGAAAGAAAATAATTTAAACGAGGTTGGCCTCATACAGAAATCCACCTCCCTGTCTCCCAAGTGCTGGGATTAAAGACATATACTATTACACATGATACCTACTTCCTTTCTGTGTTGGTGCACACAAATGAGAGCTCTGGGAATCAAATTCAGGTCAAAAACAATCTTGGCAGCCAGCACCTGTTATGTTGACCCCCAACCATGTAATTACTTTCATTGCTACTTCATAACTGTAATTTTGCTACTGTTATGAATTGAAATGTAAATATGTTTTGTTGTAGACTCCCAGAGGGGTTGTAACCCACAAGTTGAGAAATAGTAGGCTAGAGAGATAGCTCAAAAGTTATTGCGCTTGCAGAGGATCAGGGTTCAATTCCCAGAACACACATGATGGCCAATAGCTGTCTGTAACTCAGTTCCAAGGGCTCTAACATCCTCATCTGACCTCTGCAGGCACCTAGTATTCACGTGGTACACATACAAATATTCAGGTAAAGCATTTCATACACATCAATCTAAAAAAAATTTTTTTTTCATAAATACTGCAGCAAATTTGGAACACCCTAGAAAGCGGAAGAGGGAAAGAAAATTACTTCAAAAAGCATTATTACTCAAGATTACCTACTATTAATATTTTATATATTTGCTTTCAAAACATGTTATACAAAAAAATAACTGGGATCATAAATTCCAGAAGGGTTGTTTTAAAACTTTTTTTCACTTGGCTACTGATATACTTTGCCTACTATCTCATGGCTATCATGCCAAGGGGAACAAACCATGAACACACACACACACCACAGCTGTGCTCCTTTTAAATATTTATTGAACAGTATGGATCTGTTTGCTTACCAGTAACTCTTAGATAATTATGTCTCACTTAGCTGGCTTCCCTCTGACTTTACTCTTCTTGCTTCAGCTTCCTGAGTGCTGTGACTGCAGATGTGCATGACCACAGTATCCTTTATTGAGTTTATAGTAGTTCATTATGGAATACTCCATATTTTAACTTACTGTCTGATGGTGAATTTCCAGTTTTTTGTGTGCAGGTGGGAAGAGTAGCATTAAGCAGCATGAGAACTTCATACTTACTGTTAAAAACATTTTTACAGCCTGGCACAGTGGCACACACCTGTAATCCCAGCACTTGGGGAGGCAGATCTCTGAGTTCCAGGCCAGACTGGTCTGAAAAAGAGTTCAGGACTGCCAAGGCTATACAGAGAAAGCCTGTCTCAAAAAAAAAAAAGGGGGGGGGAAGGCCATTTTTTACATTTATGTATAGGGGCTGTGTATAACTGTAGGACAATATGTAGGAGTTGGTTCTCTCTTTGCACCATGTGGGTTCTGGACATCAAACTCTGTCTACTGAGCCATCTCACCAATCCTGCACATATATCTTTTGTACTTTTTGTTTCTCTTCATGCTAAACTTTCATTACTTTTTTTTTTTTTTTTTTTAATTTCAACAACAACAAAGAAGCAGATTGATGTCTGGATTAGTTCTGTGTGGGTCCAAAAGGACCTCCAAGAACTGGCCACAGGCAGCTAGATGCTTCATTTCTCTAATGTCTGCTCTCTCTTCCAGGTTGGCCAGGATTCTTGTCCGCCTGCCAGCACTCAGGCTCATGAGCTCCAACATAACAGAAGAACTTTTTTTTACTGGTCTCATTGGCAATGTTTCAATAGACAGCATAATACCCTACATCCTCAAGATGGAGACAGCAGAATATAATGGCCAGATCACTGGAGCCAGTCTATAGTGCACAGCTGACAGCCACCAACAGTGGGATGCCTCCTAGGACTGTGCAGGTGCAAGGGAAGGGAAGTAGCAGTGTCTTGGTTTATGCAGGTGTCTCCAGTGTGTTAGCCACTTCCTCCTGTTCATCCCAGACAATAGCAACTAAAGACGAGTAGAATACTTCCCTGCCCTAAGAAATGTTTTCACACCTTTTGGTGCAGCAGATTTTGGAATAACCTTCTAATTCAATTTGTATTTAGAAATTCTCAAAGGGCAAAAAACAATACTGAAGTTTTATAATATCAGAGACTAGTATTAAAAGAACCTAAGAACAGTATGTGTAAATACATTTAAAGAAAAACAAAGAGTCCTTGGAATTAATAGCTACTAATTACCAGGGTAATGTTAGCACTTTCTAAGCATTTCTTATCAAGTCTGCAATGTTACCATCTTGCCTGTGGACAGTGCAAATGGAAAACCGTCTCTTTTGTCAAAATGCTAATGATCCCTGTGAAAACTCACTAGGGTACAGGAGACAATCGCTCACATTTAGAAGAGGGCGGCACTCCTAGCTGTGCACAGTGGTGGTGCTGAGCTAAATCCCTGTGAATGAGATGTGGATTCCTGGCATTGTGTGCAGGTGACAGAATTGGCAGTGACCCACTAAGAGCTGCTGTGTCAGCCAGAGATGCATGTCACAGTCCTTGCCCACATGGTCCTGATCCTTGATGTCTGTCTGCAGACTCTTCCAGAACCTGGGCTTCACTAATTTTCAAAATTAAGATTGGAGCTTGTCAGCGTGCCTGTGATGAGAGTCATAATTCTTCCATGACTGAAAGTTTGTCCAGCTCCCTCTACCAATTCATAGGAATTGGAGCCTTTGACCAAAAAAGTTCAAGGTGGGTGATATGCAGTCTTCAGCAACATGACCTATAGAAGTTCATGGTGTTCAGGATAAGTACGGCTTCAGCAGTGAGGGTTCCTATTACTGGTGTGCCTGGAGAGGAGCCAGTATCTTCAATTGTTCACTCAGAACCTGCAGCTGAGTGGGACTGAACAAACGGCATCAAGATACATTCTTTCTGATCTCTGTTAGTGGTTTCAGTGTACTTGAAGACCATGCTTTTCAGTTCCCCCACGAATGTGCTAGTCCAACAAAGCCTTCTGGGGCATTTGAAATAACAAGCAGACTACCCTCTAAAGAGGATCCAAAAGCAATCCTTAGACAGGGCATATGGTGCAGGCCTGTAATGTCAGCACTTGGGAAGCTGAGGCAAGAGGATTATAGACTCAGGGTCAACCTGAGCAACTTAATGAGGAAACTCCTGAGTTTTAAAAGGGTCTGGGGAGTAGGGTAGAGTGGTGACTTAGTGGTAGAGTGCTTGCCTAGCATGTTCTAGGTAGGTCCTGGGTTCCATTCCCAGTACCAAAATCAAAAAGAAAAACCCTCATTCACAAATTCCTTCAAGTTATAATGATAATAGCTACCAACAAGAGTGCAGAATTCAGTTCCAAGGAAGACAGATCTGACTTTAAAGCTCTCTGCATTCCCATGGGCACAAGACTGCAGCAGCAGGAAAAAAGTGGAAGGTTGGGACAGGTACTTGGTATTCGTTTTTTTGATAGCAGAAACTAAGAAAGTTAAGTTTGTACCTGTTGGTGGACAGGTACAGCTATGGAGCTCAAGGCTACATTGGCTGTTTTCTTTTGAGGCGCTAATGACACTTTGTCCACTGCCAGCAGGGGTTAAGTGCAGATAGTATCTCTAGCTTCTGAATTCCTAGCTAGATTTGTAAGCCAGTATTGGAGAACAGCAGGGATGGCCAGTATAAAATGGAAAGGATCTAATTTTGCCAGCTTAAGTTTCTTTTTTCTTTTTATGTGTATGTCAAAGTTAAGACAAAAGGATTAGACATGAGTAAGTATGGGTCTATTTAATATCTTTAGAGGTTTCCTACAGTACATATGTTCATCCTATAGTTTCTGGCTTTGCTTCCCTTAAGATTTTACAGTGTGAGCATGCCAGTTGTTTCTAGGCCACTCAGACAGGGCCTGGGTATCCCAGTTCCCATTAGGCTATTTAGACTATGGTTGGATAAGAAGTCCCAACCTCTGGTAAGATGACACTAGAGGAGTTGGGGGAGGATTTTGCTTAGAAAAGAGTTAGTGATTCTAACCTGGTCCTTTGTAAAAGTCCCGTCATTGGCAATGGCCAATTCGCAGGGCCACTTTGGTCCAAACTCCCTTCCTTTACTGGTTGTCCAGATTTTCGTGGCCTTACCTTTAACAATTATATCCATACAATGTTCTCTTTAACTGAAATCATTTCAAACTTTGAATGTTCCATTCCATCTCTTGTCAAATGGACCTAGGAAGGTCAGCCCCAATTTCTTTCTTACAGATAGCGCATTGATGCCTAGGCTTCAGCTTTCAGGACTTGCCACCCTTGATTTAGAGTCTGTGATACTCTAAATCTGATGAAGCAGGACTGACCTGTCTAGACATTCCTCTCTCAGGGAGGAGCTCTGACCTGGCTAACTGGGCTTTTCCAGAAATATCTCAAATAAGGTTAAGATAGTTCCATGTTGAAATGTGGGATTAAACAGGACAGGAGACGTAGACAGAGACCAAATTCCCTAAGCAAGTCATCCTAGTTACTCCTCAAAGTGTTAGTTGGTCACTTCCAGTTCGCAGTGTGTTGAAGGGGCTTATTTATTGCCTACTCTCATGCTGAGGCTGCAGTTGAGGCTGTACTGTCTTGAGTTTCTGTACTCAAGTTTAAGGAGTCACTTCTGCCCGTGGAATGGTTTTCTAGTTTGTCAGTGTCAGTATTAGATGTGGACAGTGTTACTGAGGCAGTCACGGCATCAACCAGGGTGGCCAGTGTGGCCCCCAAGTGGAGCAGTATCACCCACACTACACACACTTGTTTCTTGAAGGGTAGTCCTGCTCATGCACTTCCTCAAATCAGTATCCCTGACAGCAGGAACTATCATCTGGGACCTGGTGTCATGGGGGTCTGGAAACCTGTTGTGGCTCTCCAGTGGCTGGGTGCAGTGGAGCTGTTGGTGCTGCTGAAACTCTTAAGTCCAAGCTATGAAAAAGCACCACCTAATAGTTGCTTTTCTCTAGGGGGAGGGTCCTGGGAACATCTCACACTGGCAAACAAAACAAAACAGAAAGCCCTACCTCTTCCTTTGCCTAACTTCCAGTCTCCAGATTATGTAGTTCTTTGCAAGTCTTAGTGCTTTTGTCAATTTCTAAAGCTAACTCCAAAAGGAGATGGGGTTGGCCTAGGTGTTTTGTATAAAGTTCTGGACTTCCTCATTGAGTGCCTCCCACCAGTGTGCACTTTCTGTGCACTACCTGTCCCTTCAGCCGCACTGTGCATGTCCAGAGTTACAGGCCTAGATGACTGAATGAATGTACATGTGTTCATATTATCTTCTTTGTACAGTGTATATAATGTGTGTACATAGGTGTACATTATGTATACAGACATGTAGCCACATATTCAAACCTTTATGTTGTCAAGAGTTGATGCTAGCATTGCTAATGTGAATGGATGTGGGGGTTGTAAGGTTCCCTTAACAGGGACATTGTGCCGGTGAGTTTCTTACAAACTTCATTTTCCAGGGACAAGGAGCTGCCTGGGCCAGGTGTCACTCATTCCTGCACAATGAAGCCTTGAGCCAGAAAGGTCCTGACAGGAGGGCAGTTCTTTAAGTTTACAAGGGCCCAGAAGCTAGAAGAGATGTTAGCCTAATATCCAAAACTAAGGCTATATCTGCCTTTTTTTTTTTTTTTTTTTTTTTTCACAGAAGAGTTTAGCCTAACTGGAAGGAACTTAGTGAGACCCTCAGCCTTCTCCAGAACCTGGAGCTTTGTGTGGCTATAGACAGGCACTTAGGAACCAAGGGGCTGCAGCAGTTTTCCCTTGTTTACCCTGTGCTGTCAGCAAGACTTGGTGGTAAAAAAAAATAACCAGCCTACCAAACATTCTCTGAAAACAATGCTGATAGCTAACTTGTGGCATATAAACCACAAATGGTAAATTGACCCTTTTAACTAGAAGTGAGTTTTATCCTGATTTAACTACATTCTGTAAAAAAAAGTTAGTATTTAATAGTAAGATAAGGTTGGCATACTTTGCTCATCCACCAGGTCTATTCTAGTGAAATTTGTCCCCTCTATGATTGGGATTTTAGGCTGAGATGTGGACTTGGGAGATGGGGCCCAGCCTACTAAGGGCTGCTAGTGGCTATGGTGAGCAGGCACTTGGCTCTGAGGAAGCTAAGTGTAAAAACTTGCCTGACCCATAGGTTGCTTTGTGTTTTTGAAATAAACTACTGGAGTGTTCTAAGAAATAATTGTTAAGACTGTAAAGACTGTAGTTAGTCCTCAGTGCCTTTGGTGAGACGTGGGTCATTTGGCTTCAGCTTCCCACTTGTGTCCCTGGCCTCACCCCTCATGGTTGTTCAATCTTGCCTGTGTTATTATTGCCTGTTGTGACAATCGCACTATTGAAAGTGGCTTTCCAAGTAAAACACAGGGAAGCTTGGCAGTCTCTAAATGAATCCTTTCATTTTCTTTGGGGGCTATTGTCTTAGCAACAACTTAAACAGTAAACTTAAAAGTGGCTTAGGAAGGAGAAAGATATCAGACATTTCTAATGCTCAGCAATATGCACTTTCAGTTAATTTTCAATAATTTTAGTATTTATACACAATGTAGGAAAAAAGCTCAACATTATCACTGTTAAGTTTTAGTGTTTGGGTAACATTTGGTATAGACTGCACATTAAAAATGGCCTTTCTTCAGGAAGGTACCATCAGTTGTCATCCCAACAGCCTGCTCATTCACGGATGCCAATGCTACTGCACACACAACTCAAGTGCTGTAATATTTTTCTAGTCTGTTTTCCCAATTAACTTGTAAATCAGTGTTCAACTAGTTTTGTAACTGAAAAGCTGCACATTTTTCATAGTACCAGCTAGTTTGTACCTGTAGTTTGGATTTCTCTGTTAAGATACAACTGAGTTATCTGCCCCCACTCTTTTTTTTTTTTTTTTTTTTTTTTTTTAAGGACATCTACTAAAGGAAAGTCCAGTGTGAAATTTTCTTGGGACCGGTTGTGTAACTTCTGCCCTTCATATTATAGAAAATGCCATGGATGCCATTACCTTTTGATTCCAGGTTTAAAACCTGTGGAGAGCTGCCATTTTGTACAGCTTTTCTCCCCATGTAAATGAGCTATGTGATGGCATTTAAAACCCGCATGCTCTTTTTAAACTGAATTTTCTATTTAATCAATGTCTTCAGTCCTGAAGGAGAATCTGCATCATTGTGTCTGTGTAGAAAATTGCTGTGCATGGTTATGAGCGCCTTTTACTAAATGCTGTTCAATGTGGCTTTGTTGTTGTGGCTTAATACTACCTACATGAGGTTTATACTATTAAAGTAAATTAAAGATTAGAATGTGTGCCGCTCATCATTTTTTCCTCAAAACAGTAATATGTGCCCTGAGCCCCTCCTGGGAATGTTCTTTGCCCTTCATCATTTGGAAAGACCTTTGGTGGAAAAACTCAGACTAACCTCTCTCATGGCCATAAAGCATGGGGGTAAGGACCCCACATAAACATTTCCAGAGCATGGTGGACCTTGCAGATATGTGTGTGCAGTCAGGTATCAGCAGGTGTTAGCCACACACACTGGGTATTTGCTGTGGGGTTTAATAAAGTGTCCTCAGATTCAGAAGTTGAATGATACTGCTTTTATGACTCCTGAACTATACAGGTGAGGGTGCAGAGGCAGGTCCTTACAGAGCTCATAGCTGCCAGTGGAAGGTCCATATGAAAACTGTCAATTCAGAGGACCATCATGTCAAGTCTTAGTAGTGACAGGTTTTACATACATGAAACTGACCACACAAAGTAGGAAAGACAGATTTAAAGAGATGACTTGTGCCAATATCTTTCGTTTCTTCATACCTGCATCTGCTGCTCACAGAAGTCCAGGCCATCAGTAACAGTGGCTCTGTAGAAGTTATCAGCTGTCCACATGTTGCCCCTGCATCCTTGCCACAAGTTTGGCAGAAACCCAGTATCAAGACCAAAACAAAGCTTAAGAATTATGTCCCCTTGGAGCCTGGCCACCATCTCTGCCATGGAAGGAAGTAGACTCTCTCATTAGTGCCAGCCAGTAGGGACACTGGGGACAGAAACTGAAAAGAATACCTGTTTTGGGGCTGTACCAAATTCTAATCACGTACTCCTCTCCCTTATACAGTAGAGCCACAAGCACCCATTCCACTGCAGTCCCTACCTGGTCTGCTGCAAACTCACAAACCAGAACCAGAGCAGAGGATGGAAAGACACCATACTGCAAGTATAAGCATTCCAGGTACACTGCCTTCCAGAGGCCCCTGCACACAGGAGCCAGGTGAGGGGCCAGGAGAAGGGGAGGGCAGTAGCTCTGCTCTGTTGCCTCTAAAAGGCCTTGGGTATTTTAAATAACCACTATTTTGTTAAGTTCCATAAACCTGTACCTATATGGCCAAATGCCGAGGGGTCTGTAGTAAATATTAAGGTTGAAGGATGGAGTGTACATAACTGAAAAATGGCAATGGAAAATAACTAGGAAAGCACACCCAGGTGGCATCTTCACCCTCAAGGCCATAAAGATCCCTGCTGCTGGAGCAACACAGTACCACTGACACCCCTCCACCCATGTGGGCATCTCAGGAAACAAGGATTACTGGGCTTAGAGTGCTCACATGTTTGCTTTGGACTGTTAAGTAAGAACAGTTACTCTGCCAGCTACATTTGGCTTACCAGTAACAGTAGTCCTCAATAGCTTCCAGAGTGGACTGCAGGAAGATTAAATGATAGAACCAGGAGGCAATCACAGGACTGAGACAGTCACTGACACACTGCCCTGTCCCATCTCAGCCCAAAGCTGTCTGCTACAGGTGGTGTTCGTACCAGCAGGCCCAGACTTACCATGTACAGGAAGACTCAATCTTTTATTGACATCTTTTCACAGCTGGCAACCCTGGACTTCTCTCCATGTCCTTTAAATGGGCATGCAAGCTGGCCTTTCCATTCCAGGGGGTTCCATCATTTGTGGTACAAATATAATCATCTCCACCTGTCATATGTCACCAGTCCATCCCAAGTGACCTTGCTTAGACCTAAGTATTGGCTTTCAAGGAAGCTTTGTACTTCCCTCTCATCTCCTTGGGTAAGGGCACCAGGCCAGGGCAGGGCACCTGACCTTCCACTTCACACATGCACTCCCGCAGGCAGTACTTCCGGGGGCCAAAGTTGGCCGGATGAGAGCGCTGCTGCTTCTCCAGCTCTTCCTCCCTGAGGATCTCCCTGTCAAGGAACACACACAGTAGCAAAGCATGACCAGAGGCTCCAGACTGTAGGCGGCCTCTTCCATGGGAAACAAACCACTATAGCATCCCACAGGAACAGGAGTGAAGGAGCCTGGGTCTTTAGAGACTTTCTTAGCTTCATTTCCTTTCTTATTATCCTTCCTCATTCAAGGAGTAGAAAAAATTTGGGAACAGGGTCTAAGTTTCCCTTTAGCTGCATGCATGTCAGAGCAAGGGCAGCCCTTGTCCACTGTCACAAGGGAGTGGACAACTGATTCGATTTCTGTGACTTCAGCTCACATCTTCTGAGCAGAAAGACCAAGCCTAAACTGACCCTACTGCCCAAGCAGTAGCCTGGAGAACCTTCCCTCTCTCCACCCTCCCTACACATCCCCTTCACTCTTACATATTTTTGGGCAGAGGTTTGCTCCTGTCAGGTCACCCCAGCAACTCACTCTTTCTTGCCCAAGATTTTCTTTATGTGCTCCATGATCTCCTTATTACTCTTGGTCTCCACGTCTACCAGGACCTGCTCCCCAGTATCTGCAAACAAGAGGCACAAGGGCAGGAGAACTGAGGACTCAGGTATACTCAGCCTCAAAAGGCTGGGACTGCCAGGTGTGACACATACCAATAGCCTCGTAAGGTGGATGATTGACAAGTCAAGACCAGCTTGCTCTCTAGTTTGCTTTCAGTAGTAGAATTCAATATTCTTTTTAAATTAGATTATGTATATATGTGCATCTGTGCATGAAAGTGCAGGTACCTGAGGAGACCAGAAGAGTGTGTCAGGCCCCCAGGAGCTGGAGTTACAGGCAACTGTGAGCTACCTGTAACCAACACAGAAACACCCAACTGCAGATATACCACCAAATGGGACAGAAACAAGTTCATGACCAAATAAACCCTTCTATTATGCACAACTGTTTTCAGCAATAATGGCAAGAAATTTTCAATTTAAGCTTTTTAATTAAACATTGGTTACTGGCTACTCACATGCAAATAAACATTAGGAAAAACTTAAAATGGACCAGAGCTGTAAAACTACTACTGTGTGTGTTCGTCCACATGTGGAGGACAAAATAAATCTGTGGAGATCTTGGCCCTGTCTTCAAGGGCCAAGTCCTCTACCTGTGCTGAGCTAAAATGTTTTATAAAACTTACAGAAGAATGTATCTTATCAGACAGTGCTTGCCCTAGCATGAAAAAAAACAGGAGAAAATGGTTTTTCAAGACAGGGTTCCTCTGCCTAACAGCCCTGGCTGTCCTAGACTCCCTTTTTGTAGAACAGGCTGGCCTCAAACTCATGGAGATCCACCTCACTCTGACTCTTGAGTGCTGGGATTAAAGGCACGTGCCACCATGCCTGGCCTGAAAGAGTCTTAATAATCTTACTAAGGAACAAATTTTTTTCAGGCATGATGTTTAAAGTGTGATCATAAGGAAAGGCAGTAACTTGAATATAAAATTTCTTACTTTCTGTTGTAGAAGACACTATAAGCCAGAGGCTGGAAGAAAATACTTAGAATCCACATATATCTGATTCAGGATTTCATCAGAATATTAATGAATTCACAACTCTGTAAGATAACCTGACTAAATGTTTAAGATAGTTTGCCATTTTTCAAATTAAAAAATATGCACATAAAAAGAAATCTGTTATTAAGAAAATATAATATACAGTGGCTAAAACTTTGTTTTTTTCAAGACAGGGTTTCTTTGTGTACCCTTGGCTTTCTTGAACTCACTTTGTAGACCAGGCTGTCCTCGAACTCAAGAGATCACCTGCCTCTGCCTCCCCAGGTGCTGGGGTTACAGGTGGGCGCCACTGCACGTAGCAGTGCTTAAAGCTTTTAAGGGTAGACAATGGATGGCACTTGTAAAGAGGCTGGTTAACTCAAATTCAGATGCTATTTGTGAAGGCCCACTACATTATTACTACCTAGACCAGTGAACTGAAACAAAAGAAAACTGAGGGAAGGAATGTCTTGATGATGATGTGTTTCTATAAGTAAAATATCTTAGGCAATTCATAAAATTACCAGAAATTATGTCAAATGTAACTACAAAAACCAATACCAAATCACAAGAGAATGAAATGTTCAAAATACTAAAATCATCTTCAGTACTGTAAAGATGGTTTATAATTTAGTGTGACAAAACTACAGCTAGCCTTTTCCTAGAAAACAGCAAACATCTTCAAATTTTTATAATTCTAACAGCATGCCAAGGCAAGAGAATCAGAAAGTTAAGGCTAGTCCTAGAAACAAACCAATAAATAAATAAATATCAAATAAAAAAATTAGCAAATGACCTAAAATAACAAAGTAAGAGGAGAATGTTACAAAGATCAATGAAAGGTCAGAAATTTATATAATAAAGTAGCTTTTGTGTGTGGTAAAACATACAATTGGGGTCTAATGAGATGTTTAACAGTTAAGGGAACTTGCTCTTCCAGAGGATGGAGACTGATTCAGTTCTAGCAATAACATGATAGCAAACAATCATCTGTAATTTCAGTTCCACACTCATATGCATAAAATAAATCTTTAAAAAAGAAGCATACAATTGACATTTTAACCAAAACAACTCAGTGGTTTTAATAATATAAACACACCCTGTTACCTACTCACTCACAGTCACTCCTGGCTATCACTTCAGTGCTCTCAAAGTTCCCTCTTTTGGAAATCTGCTGGTTTACTAGGTTGAAGCAGGTATTAACCTGTCAGTCCTTCATCACAGAGAGACCACCCTGTTCCCCATTAAGGTCATTGATTTTGAACAAAAATATTAAGGAAATCCAATGAAGAAAAGTATAGCATGTGTATTCAACAGCTGGATATCTTCAGTACAGAAAACAAAACTCAATTTCAAGCCTTGCCTTTAGTACACAGGAAAGAACTTGAAAAGTACAGAGGGTAGAGAGAGGGCTTGGTTAAGAGCACTTGCTGCACAATCAATCATGAGGTCCAGAGTTAAGATAACACCTACAAAACAAGAGGGCCATGCCACATCTATAATCCTAGTCCCTATCAGGGGTGCAATGAGGATTTCTGGGGCTTGCTGGCTTCCAGCCTATCCAAAAACACAAACCCCAGGTTCATGGAGAGACCCTACCTTAAAGGAAAAGGCAGAGTGATAGAGGAAGACATCCAAACCCTCTCTGGCCTCCATATGCGTAAACAAGCACTTGTGCTGGCACACACCAGTTACACACATTTAAATAAATATATCTCAGGCTGGGAAGATGGCTTAGCATTTATAATGCTTGCAGAGGACCTGGCTTTGATCCCCTGCATCCACATGGCAACTCAAAAACACCTGCAACCCAGATTTAGAGGATTTTGCCCTTGCTGGCTGCAGCATACATCTGGTACACATAAACTCATGCAAGCAAATCCACATAACATTTTTTTTCTTCAAGACAAGGTTCCCCTGTATAGCCTTGGCTGTCCTGGACTCGCTTTGTAGACCAGGCTGGCCTCAAACTCACAGAGATCTACCTATCTCTGCGTCCCCATGTGCTTGGATTATAGGTGTATGCCACTCTGCCTAACCACATAACATAAATTTAAGAATCTAAAGTATCATAGGAGATTAAAATGTAATTATATACCTGTAAGGAAAACTGAGAAGGGCTTTGGGGCAAGCAAATGCATCGCAGACATGCCACAAATCTACTAAACCAGAAAAAAAAAAAGTGGATTACCTAGAATTGACACAAATCAAAACTTTTTTCAAGCCCCTGACATAGAGGTTGAAGTTAAAAGGCCACGGACTTGAAAGTTTCCATACACCACTGTCTCACACAGAACTATATTCAGAACACTATATACAAAGAACAAGACAGTCCACACTGGCTTCTAAAAGATGCTACTGGAAATGAAAAGTGACTTTACAGATGTACTCAACTAAGTATGACCTCAAAAACTGTGTTGAAAATTCCTGATGACATCTGCAGGTGGGCCCTCTAGGAAGTGACCAAGATTGGATGAGGTCAAGAAGGTGAGTCCCAGGATGGCAGCAGTGACTATATGATAGCGAGAGATAACTCATCAGCTTGCTCTCTGGTCAGGCTACACCCTCTACCCTGTTGTCACACAGCAAGAACATGCTCTATAGATGTGGTCTTTCAAAAGTCTCCCGGCCCTCCAACCCCTTACTCACTTCCGTTATCCTTTCTCTGTGGCTGTTCATGGCCACTAAAGAACCAAAGCGTTCCTCTGGCCTGAGCATGCTTTCTCAGTGCTCTTTTCACCCAGATTCCCTTTCCTGGATTTGGGTCCTGGCATTTTCCCTGCTATCTTCAAACTTCTTTTTCAAGGTCTCAGCTTTAAACCTCATGCAAAGCTCATCAGCAGGTGACTGGATGAGTTGAGAGACTAACATAGTGGAAGATGCTTAGCTGCAACAAATCAATAGAAGCTGGAGTCCTCCAGGCTGGGAGCCCAAGCGCTCAGAAAAGCTGAAGAAGGAGCCCAGGAGTTTGAGGTGTCTGACAATAGAATAAAACCCTGTCTCTAAAAGGATAAACTGGATGGGATATGGCTTTGTGGTAGAGCACATGCTTAGCACCTGAAAGACCCTAGATGATTATCAAAAACAATGTTAAATAAAAGGTTTTTGCAAAAGAAAATGTACCAGGCTCCTCCCAAACCTTCCTTGCACTGGGCTGTGGTTGGCAGGGGCCAAAATGCAATCCTGTGGTTTAATCAGTCTTTCCCACAAGATACAAACATGGCTGGCAGAAGCACTACCAGGACAAGCAAATGGTCTTGCTATGTTATAAGCAGAATTTTGGGGGCAGCTCCACATCCCAGTAGTCCACCCAGATGCAGCCAGGGACAGGTTCTTTCTTTCACTGACTCTACCGTCTAGAAATGGGAAAGGAATTTTCCTAGATTCTTGTTTACATGAAAATCAGAGGCAAAGCAGGCAGGCATACAGTGGCTGTATTGAAACCCAGCATTTGAGAGGCTCAGCAAGGAGGACTGCCACAAGTTTGAGGCCAGTCAGTACTACACAATCCCATCTCAAACAAAAAGTCCTAACCTACTGCCCCTGCAGAAAGGGACTGAATGCCAAAGAGAAATATCTTGTTTCTATCCATGCAATGGCTTCATCACATAGCCAGAGCTGGCTGTGGCTCCAAGCTGCAACACTTGCCCAACAAGCACACTGAGGCCCTAAATACAAAATCCTGTGAATGCTTTCCTTCACCACAAGACTTTGTCGACTCAACTTCCACACTGCTTTCCTGTGTATTTTGTGTCTCTCTCACACAGAACACCTCCCGCCCCTGCAAAACACAGAGCAGAGCTTTTTGCCATGGACTCCTTGACTGTCCAGCACCTGGCCTCAAGCTGTCCCCCAGTGACACTCCATATGTACAGTACACATAAGTGAATAATGGTCCTTCTGCTTTCTGTGGCACTTTCTACCTATTTCATTCGTGAACCAGGAAAGGGCTGTTAATGCCTGGCATCAGGACAAGAAAGTAGGGTACCCACAAAACATCTGATGGGACCAGAAAGAAGACTGAGGTCAGCACTAAGGGGCACTAGATGCCTGAGGGCCAAATCCAGGCCTAAAGGATATTTGGTTTGGTGTTTTTGTAGTGCAATGCACACTCTACCACTGAGCTATGGACATATATCTCCAACAAAGGATCTCTGCTTTTATTCTGTAAAACGGGCAAAAAGTGAACACACACCAGCACAGAGCTGCAAAAGAATGTGGATAAATTTGCACACATGATAGGCCAAGGACAACTGGAGATGAGCTGGAGAAAGACAGGTGAAGGAGGTGGGTCTAAATCTCAGCAGCCAGTAGGTAACTGACCACAGCTGTTTAGACAGCTCAACTGCTACCTTCACAGAGGGTTAGAAAAGGACAGGCATGCCTCACTTACCTAGATAGAACCGCAGAAAGGGCGACGGCGTCATGTTCTTAAACAGCATTATCTGTACCCAAGGGTTCTTATACTGGATCTGAGGGATGTTGAAAAGCACGAATTTCCTGAAAAAGGCAAGAAATGAACTCATGTAACAGCTTTCCAGAAATGAACCCATGTGCATCTCCATGTCTGCTCTCAAAGAACTCCAGATCTTCTTTCAGCGTTGTTGACTGCAACACACTACTTTTCTTAGGTTGGTTCTACACCCTGTTAGCAGCTCTCTTTGGCAGGTATCACACAACTCTGGCATCTCCAACATCTTGGGGTCTGCAATGCAATCACCTTTACAGCTTTACACAACAAATGGGCTCTCAGAAACTACATGCAGGAACTGACTTCCCAAACGCCTGTCCTCAGTAGCTTTCCTTAACCTTCAAAGAAGGTTCCATAAACCCCTTCCTGTATCCTTCTTGACTAAATACAGAACCATGCGGCTAAAGCTGTCAAGTTCTTCTACTTGTTTAGCCTGAAACTTGGCTACCTCCAAGACTTGCATTTGCTTAGGTTTTGATTGGTTGATGATTTCTAAGCAGAAGAATCCATCAGGCTTATCCTTTCACAAGAACCCCTCTCCCCACTAACCTCCTTTCTCTCCTACCCAGTATTGGGGTGTTGGAAGGGACTGGGATGGAGAAGGAAGAGGATTACAAAATGTAAATAAAAGTTTAAAAAAGTAGCGCCAACAGGTGTGGGCAGTGGCAATGGCCATGAGAACCACATTCCTCTTCCAATAGGCCAAGAATGCAAGCAATGTCCAATCCAAAAAATTAAAGCAGTTGCTAGGGAATAGCCCAATCACTAAGATGCTTGCTGAAGACCAAAGTTTGGAGCCCCAGAACCACTTTTAAAAAACAAACATCCAAGCAAAACAAAACAAAACAAAAAACCAAAAAACATCATCAAACAAAAATCAGCTAGGGAGTTATGGAGATGGCTTGGTGGTTAAGAGGATTTTTTGCTCTTGCAGATGACCTGGGTTCAGTTCCCAGCACCTACATGGTGGCTTACAACTATCTATAACTCCAGTTCCAGGGAATCTGACTCCCTGTTCTGACTTTTGTGGGCACCAGGCATACATGTGGTGAACATACATACATGGAAGCAAACCCTCACACATACTGTTTTAAAAAGCCAGCCAGATATGGTGGCACACACCTTTAAACTCAGTAATCAGGAAACAGAGAGGCAAGATGATCTTTTATGAGCTGGAGGCCAGCCTGCTCTCTGTAGGAGTTCCAGGACAGCTAAAGACATATAGTGAGACCCTGTCTCAACTAAAACTTAAGGAAGATTTTATTTGAGGCTGGAGAAATGGCCCAGCAATTAAGAGCGCTTACTGGGGGCTGGGGAGATGGCTCAGCAGTGAAGAGCACTTAGTCTGCTCTTCGAGAGGTCCTGAATTGAAATCCTGGCAACCACATAGTGGCTCAATATTGGGATATTGGGATCCAATGCCCTCTTCTGGCATGCAGGTGTACATGCAGATAAGAGTACTCACATAAATAAATCTTAAAAAAAAAAAAAAAGAAAAAAAGAAAAAAGTGCTTAATGTTCTTCCAAAGGACCTGAGTTCAGTTCCCAGTACCCACATTAGGCACCTCACAGGGTATCTAATGCCCTCTGGCTTCAGTGGGCACCTGCACAATAAACTCAGACACATACACACAGATAAAAATAAACCTAAAAAAAAAAAAAAAAAAAAAAAGTAAAAATGCCAGGTGTGGTGGCACTTGTAAATCTCAATACTAGTAAGGAAAGAATGAGACAAGAGAATCCCCAGGGTTTGCTGGTCAGCCTAGCTAAATCCATGAGGCCTATGCCAAGAGGCCCTATTTCAAACAAACAAAAAAAGCTTGCCAGCTCCTTAGAAACATGACCTTTGGTTGAACGATGGTGTGGCACACACGTGTCCACACGTACGCGCGCGCGCACACACACACACACACACACACACACACACACACACGCCTTTAAGTAATTACATCAATACAAAACCTGAAAAGCTGAAAGTCCTGCTTCTGCGGAGCAAACAGCCTTGAAGACTCCCATAGTACACCATTCAAAAGCTTGAAGGCAGAACTTAACCATCAGCAGGCCTCTGCTACTGCTCCCCCCAACGCACGGAGCCTTGTGCAAGCAAACCAGACAGGGCCAAATACGAGAACAAACAGGCACCAAGGATCTTAAGAGTAGTTCTTACTGTGAGGACAGATGACCAATGGTCAGCACCTGTTGCACTCTGCCAGGTACTTGATTCTCCAACACACCACCACCACACCAAGACACTGATGGGGTGTTAAGAAAAATGGGGTCAGGAAGTTGAGGGAACTACCCCAAATCCACACAACTAGTTAAGGAAAAGGCCTCAGCTGTGCTTGCTCTGGGCTTCTACCACACAGGCTTGTCACTCAAATGACTACGCTCTGCATCCTGAGAGATTCGTCTTAAGAACATGAAATCCCTAACAGAAGGGAGTAGAGCATAAGCCCTCCGGTCTACTGACACCCAGCCTTCCAGAAAGCCCTCACCCCAGCAGATCCCAAGCTACTAGGTCCTAGATCCTGGGGGGTCACTTGACCAGAGAAAATGTCTAGAAGGCAGCTTCTGGCTCTCCTGAAGTCAAGGGACCACTCTCCACCCGGAACTCTTCTCTCACTCGGAATCGTCCCACAAATCCACTCCTGTTGACAGTCTTGGGCTGGTTTCTCCCTCACTGTGGGCACTCCCAGTACTGAAGCCAGTGTTTCAGACGCCCAATAAATGTTCAGTGAGTACTGAAGGGCCCAAGGCATTGCTCAGAGATGCTAAAGGGTTAGTGAGATCTTCTAGTCGTCAACTGTCCTAAGCAGCAGCCAAGCCATGCTGTGTGCAGGTGCGGAAACTTACCACTCCGAACCCAACGCATTTCCCGCGCCCCACAGCGGCCGGCCTCGCAGCTCGTGAGGAGTGGCGCGCGGGTTAGATCGGGGTTTGTGGGGACGGCCTCCGCCTCCGCTTCTCACTGAACCACGCAGGGTGAGACTCGTACTGACCTGGCGCCTTCGCCCAGTTCCCCGTGCGTGTTGTAGTTCACGGTCATGACCTTCACCGAGTCCTTAAATACCACCTCCCCGCGGCCCAGGTACTTCAGCGTGCGGAGGATAGGGAACCGACCCTTCATCAGCATGGTGGCGACAGGAGCTCCTCAAGCCGCGGACACTCGCGGCTCCGATACGCGCGGAGTCTCGGGAGATGCCTCCCGGTGGGCAACGCGGCCGCAAGGCAGCCTGGGACTCGTAGTTTTGGCCGGGGCTCGCAGCCGTCCCAGCAGCCGCCGCCGCCGGAAGTCAACCGGTTGTTTCACCTTGACAGAAACCAAGTGCCCTGTGCCCAGGTCTCCAGTTCTGAAATGAAGAGCTCGGCTGAGAAGTCGCTATTGATTCAAAGGAAAATTTGTTTTGCAAAGGAGGAAAAGAACGTGGCTTGCTCTGGCGCGTCCAGGTCGGGACTGAAGGACTCCGCTCAGAGGAAGAGTTTCGCTTGTGAAGTGTCTGTGACAGATAACGGTGACTCAACAACCAATATGGCACTCCGCGCTGCAATTCTTTTTTTTTTTATCCTTATCTTAGTGTTTTGCCTGTGTTATCTCTACACCACATGCAGTGCCCATAGAGGCCAGAAGAGGGCGCCAGATCTCCCTGAAACTGGCGTTACACATAGCAGTGAGCTGCCCTACAATGTAGGAGCTGTGCAAGATCAGCCACTTCCACTTGCACTTAAATGCTGAGCCATTCCTCCAGTCCCACATACTGTACTTTTTAAAATAATTGTTTATGGGTGAAATGGATTTTTCCTCAGGTTTCTCAAGATTTTTCCTTTGTGTTTGGCTTATATAGTTTGAGATACGCAGGGTAATTTTAGTATTTGTCGTGCTTTGTGTTCTCTGAGCTTCCTGGCTCCAAAAGTTATTGTTCTTTTTTTTTTTTTTTTTTTGGTTGAGACAAGATCTCATGTAGCCAAGGCTAGACGTGAAGCCCTAATTATCCTCTGCAGACTCCTCCCAAGTGCTGGGACTATAACACGTTTTACATGTTTTAAAGCTCTGAGTTTCTGCTCCCCCACTCCATTTTAAACTTTGCTTTTTACATTTCAGTAGGAAACTTTGCACTGACTTTCCTAGCTTCATAGATGAACTGTCTACTGATAAACCCTTTCCAGAATTTCTCATCTGTTAATCTATTTTTAGTATTTTCTTTCACTAGTGTTCTTAACTCTGCCTACCTTCCCCAACTGTGCTGGGTGTATCCTGTGCACACGTAAGAAGGCTGGGGGAAGAACAGTGTCCTTCTCTAGTCCTCAAAACAAGCTCTCTCACTGATCCTGGAGCAAGGCCGGTGGCCAGCAAGCTCTAACAACTGGGACTTTAGCCCACACTTCTGGCATTACAGGCACAGATGACCTCACCTAGACTTTTACATGGGTGCTGGGGTCCAAATTTGGGTCCGTATGTTTGTATGGCAATCACTCTTACCCACTGAGGCATCTTCCCAGCTCCCGTTTGTTTGTTTTAGATTTGAGTGTTCTGCCTGCATGTATGTGCATAGCTAATGAGCTGAGCTTCAGCCAGAACTACATCTGTCTGAGCACACTGCAAGCGTACAGGCACAACTCGGAGAACCTGCTATCTTACGGTCCTTACATGCTGTTTGCTTATTGGTTGGTCTCTGTAACACAACCTGCAGTTACATTTCCTGTCTGGTAATTCCAACATTAGTCTAGTTGTGTTGCTTGCTTACCTTTTAGGATGCTTGTAACCATTTGTGAGACACTGGCTACATAGGGAGTAGAAACTAAGTCTCTAGTGTGAAAGACTGTCAGAAGCTTGGAGTTCCTGGCCCTCCTCTGCAGTCTCTTGCAGCTGTGATCCTCTTACTATCTAGCCTGGATCCCTGGGGGAATAGGAGGTAAAGAGGGACGTGTTTTATGATCTTAGGATGTCCCAAGCTATGGCCTTCACACATTTCATCATTCCCTACTTCTCCCTCAGCTAAAGAAGGCTTCAGGGGACTGGAGTTGGGGCAATATGTTTGCCCCCAATAAGTAAGTTTGGTGAAGTTTCTCCATTGGCAGAAGCCTTTGCTAGGATGCTCTGGTTACAAAGAACTTTCCCTCCCTCCACCACAGCTGTAGGAGGAGGTTTCTTGGTGTTTCACCATTAGAATAAGGAGTTGCCTTTGCAGGAGGCAAGGCCTCACTGTGCCTAGTGGACAGTTACCCTCCAGGACTCTTCTGGCCAGGCTATCTGGCCAGGCTTGGTCATATAGACCTGTGATCCCAGAAACTCTGTAGACTGAGGCAGAAGGATCACAAGTTCAAGGCCTGCATGGGCTACAAAGAAAATTCAAACTCAGCTTGAGGAACTTAGCAAGACCCTGTCTGAAAAATCAAGAGCTAGGAATATAGCTCAGTAGTAGAGCACATGCCTAGTATGTGCAAGGCCCTATCCTGCAACAGCAAACAAAAGCTACCACTGGTATTCATACCAGTCATGGCTTGTGCTGCAACCATCAGATCTTTGACTCTGGACTCAACACTGTAGATGCTGGGAGAAAACTGAGCCCTGCAAATGTTTGCTAATGGTTCCAAGAAAGGTTTTCATTCTTTCCAGCTCCTGCTTATAAGAATGGCAACTTCCAAAGGATGTCTCAACTAAAAGCAGAAGTGCTAAACTAAAATTCTAAAGTGATTAAAATTCTGCTAAGCTCTGGAGGACACTGCAGGTCCTGAAGTCTAATCACAGATGACTCTTCACCCACTGGAGAAACCCAGTGTCCCACACAAACAACTTGGGATTCCAGATTAGACAAAGCTGGGCAGGCTCTGAGAGGTACAGCTCCGAGCAAGGTGTTACCTCTTCCTTTGCCCGTTAACTAGGAAGATTCAATGAGGTGGCCTTCCCTCCTCCCCCCATCAAACTGAGCTCTGGCCCACAGTGAACATTGGACATAAGGCCCCTCCTCAGGCTCCTGGGCCAGGTGAAGTCACTGTGGGAACCCAGTTAGCCGTAAAAAATGTCTTTCCGGGGATTGCTTATCTGCTGTATTTTTGGTAACAGTAGCTGAACCCACCCATCTCTACCATTCCTGAACCAAGTAACCGTCTAGGTCCTGATGGCAAAGTGAGTTGTGAGTTTCCAATCTGTCCTTTGTCAGGTAACATGTCACAGGCCTGCTCTCAGAACTTGGGGAAGTGTGAAATGTGCTAGTGCCTAATGCAAATGGAAGTCCCAGCCTCCCCTCCACCTCTCTGAACCTCACCTTCCAGTGGGAAGTATGGTTTGGACTTCGAAGAACCCTTAGGATGTTAAAAGGGGACAGAGACAAGGCTTCTAAGAGAAATGGCAGCTTCACATGACTGTTAGCAACCCTCAGTTTCTGTGGGAACCTGGGGTGATAGGAATGGACAGGGATCTCGGCTGGGCTTGAGTACAATAGCTCCTTTAGTGTTTACTTGCAACACAAGGACATGAGTTTGATTCTCAGAACCCACAAAGAAGTAGTGAGCATAGTGATAAGCATTTGTAATCCCAGGGCTGGGGCGGGGGAAGATGACCTCTGGGACTCGCTGACCAGCCAGTCTAGCCTGATTGGAGAACTGCCTAAAAGAAGGTGGGTGGCTTTCCTAAGACTAATACCCAAGGTTATCCTCTGTCCTTTCTGTGCACATGCAAACATTCACATACAAACACACACAGGAGTGTTAAAAAAAAAGAGGGTGGAGGGACGTTTTAGGCATACAAACACACAGCCACAAACACGTTACTTTTTTAATAAAAGCCTCACATAAATGGTATTTTATTTTTTTAATAAAAGCCACTGATACAAGGCCCGAATGTAGTGCATGCGTGTCAATGACCATCTAGGTGACAGTCACCATGATTACCAGAACACAGTGCTCCTCTAGTCTGACCTAGTACAGAGACCAATTCCACAATTTCAATCACATGGCAGAGCTATGCAACATGGCTCATGATGACTTAGAAACAGATTTTAGCATCTGACAATAAAGACATGATGAATAGTTAAGTGCAGTGAGTGAGGCTCTAGTTCCTTAGTGTTAGAAGGGGACTAAGCCAGAGGTCCTTCCACATATGAACAGGACCTATGTCTAGGGAATCTGCCAATACCCTATCAAGGACATGCTCCTTCACTGATAAGGTAGAGCTAATTTCCCTGAAAGACCTCAGGAATCATGAATTATTCACCTGAGGTAAGAACCTGGCATTGTGGTTACACTCACAGGCCAACACCCTCTGCAAACCAACCCTGACCTGCATGAATTCTGGGAAGTGATACAGCCATTGGGTAGACAAGTCTCTCTTGCCAAGTCTGACTAGCAGAACATGGCCGAAGAGGAATTCAATGAGAAACCAGTAAAACCTCTGGGATCTGGGTTTACTTGGTTTAATATTCAGTGACTTGAGATTTAAAAAATAGTTAAAAGCATTTAAAAGCATTTGTTTTCTCCATGGCCTCAGTCACAGACTGATGCCTGGGGGTGAGTTCAGGAAAGGCATACATTTAGTAAGTCACTAGCTAATTGAGAAGCCTGGTCTCATAAGAAAGGTAATGTCTACAGTGATATCACCCTGGACACCTGATCTATGTCAGGAAAAGTGATGGTGGAAACCAGTATTCAACCTGATTTTGTGTAGACAGCTGCCGCCTCTTCCTTTAGACAAAAGCAGACCAAGTTGGGTGGGTATGCTGGGCATGCCTGGAACCTTAGAGTAACAGCATCTAGAGCCTTGGCCTTAGGAAGAGAAGAGGCCTGTTCCAGGTAACATGAATGCCAGGCTACCTACCTCCCAGAACAGCCCATGACACCAACAGAGCTGGCAACTAACTGGCACTGGTAATCTACTCATAGGCCAGTAAACATCTGTCAACAAAACCCAAAGTGTCCTCCATTACCCTTCCTTTCCAACCCTTCCCATAGCCCCATACAGGACTTTCTATCTAGCCAAGGCCCCAACAGGTACTAATGAATTGGGATTACAGCTGCCAAATAGGTCTTTGCACCCAGATGTCATTCTTACCACCAAGATAGATCTTCACCAGAATGTGACGAAAGAAGTTCAGCTTACACACCAGTAACCAACAGAAGCCATGGCCCAGAGTTAGCTAACGGGTAAAGTGACTAGTGGTCAGCCGGGCTCTGTAGCACATGCCTGTAATCCCAGCACTTGGGGAGGCAGGGGCAGGTGGATCGCTGTGAATTCAAGGCCAGCCTGGTCTACAAAGCAAGTACAGGACAGCCAAAGCTACACAGAAAAACCCTGGTGGGGGGGGGGGGAGGCCTAGTGGTCAATTCTTGTCTATTAACTAAAGAGTATCATTGAAGAAATAACCCATAGCTGAACACACCCAGATCTTACAATGTCATTTGTCAATTGATCTGTTTCTGTAAACCAAAGTACTAAGTTATGTAAGTTCCCTTTCTGTTTTCCTCAGAGTTCAAGTACTTCAGGGCTATGGAATGATCTGAGGCCATGCCTCAAATATTTCTGTTTCTCAGTACTCAAAGTAGAAAAAAAAAAAAAAAAAAAATCTTACCAGTTTCCCATGTCAGGATGAACCACAGGGAAGAAGGCTGACTAGAGAGCCTTGGAAGTTACTAAAATTTATCTCCTGACTCAGATGCTTCCTGGTTACAATTCCCAAATCACACCACAGGCCCATGAATGTGACCTATGGAGTGGTCATTCTGCTAAAGCCCTGGAAGGAGGTTTCCAGAGAACAGACTACTGCTCAGGTAGAAACTTCTCCCAAACTATAACACTCACCAAAAGTTGACCATTCCTATTTCATAATCACTCTCACACTGACACCAGTGTCCCAACACCTGGGAGCTTCACTTTCTTCAACCGGGAGGGGGCAGCACTGGCAACATTCCCCATCCATAAAAAGTGGCACTGGTCCTCCTTGGGTCCAGAGTTTTCCCTTAACAGCAGCATCTCCCTACGTATCCAGGAGACAGCCCAAGGAGGGAAGTGGTGAAAGGAAGCAGCCAAATCTGAACAGATTTCTGCCAGAGCTCCTGCCTGCCTTGGCTACAGGAAGGGGCCTGTCAAGGGCTGCCCTATAATACTGCATACTGACCAGGAACAGTCAGCAGAAAATAGACCCTTGAGAGGTGCCGAGGAGCCATTTCTTCCTTGGCCCAACAGAGCTGCACTGAGCTTTATCTCAGAAATAAAATGGTAAAGTTCCCTGAAAAGAGAACATTTCATTAAAAAAATAATACAGAAAAACCAGCAAGTGAATGCTGATTTTTTTTTTCCTGTTCTTATTCAGCTGTAGTGGAAATGCCTCAAAGTGCACAGCAAGATACTACTGTTTCCACCCCTCACCTATGTGCATCCAGATGCCCACCATCTCCCCTTCTTCCTTGGTACCCTGCTGCCCAAGACTCTGGCCCCTGCCTACTGCTGTCAATTAGGGGCCCCCTTCTGCTTAGCCAGGGTGCACTTCAGCTCCCGGAGGTTCTCCGTCAGCACCTCAACCTCATCCATTCGACCGCACTGCTTGGCGTCAAAGATGTAAGCCTTGATGTTATCAATCTGCTGCAGGAGCAGCTCCTCCTCGATGTGCTCCTCAGCCTCCATGCCACTATCACTGTCCACCTCGAAGGGGTTGGTGCAGGGGCACTCTTCAAAAGGGTTTCCAGGGGCAGGTGGGCTAGCAGGCCTGGGATGGTCATCCTCATCAAAGGGGTTGAGTGCTGGACTGTCTGGGTCAGTAAAGGGATTCCCTGCCCCCAAATCTGCCACCTCCTCTTCTTCAGCATCTTCGTCAAAAGGATTATATTCTCTGGTGACAGTAGCCGGAGGGCCCTGGACAGCCTCTGCAACAGCAGGGCTGGCAGCATCCTCTGTAGGGCTGGAGAGGTCTTCTTCATCAAACGGATTGAAAGAGGTCTTATCACTGTGCTGTGACATGGTGCTCTGGAGGAATAAGTCCTGGCCAAGGGCTGGGGGCCCAGACAAGTGGACAAGTGCTAGAGCTGAGCCAGGTGAAAGGGTATTGGGAGCTGTGCTGCTCTGAACTGGGGAAGAGTCCCGATTCAAGGAATAGGCAAGATCAGTATAAGGCCCTCGGCTAGGCTCCAGATGGAAGGGTATGACTTCTCGGAGCTCTAGAGCACGAGTCCGTGTGTGCAGGGATGCTGCCAGGAACTGTTCCTGTTCTCGGTCTAGTTCCCGCTTTCGGAGCATCTGCAGCTGCTCCCGCTGCAGTTCCTCCTCCTCAGCCTGCCTCCGGGACAGCTCAATGGCCTTCTCAGTCTGCTGCTGGTCATATTCGTCCTGCAGCTGCCGCAGGTTCTCTTGAAGTATGCACAGCTCATCTGTGCGGCCTGCAGCTTTGGCCTGTCTGATGAAGGATGTAATGTTGAAGATCTGCTGGAGGAGAGGGTCAGGGTCCTCACTCTGCCCCTGACCTTCCGACAATGGGAGCCAGCCCTCAGCCTTTCGCAAGGGAGCAGGGATGCCTCGCAGAGACCTCACTTCACCATTCGCTGCACGAGATGCCAAACCACTCTGCCTTTCTTCAAGCTTCCGCTGGGACTCCAGAGCAGCCTGCAAAGACAGCAAACACCACAAAAGTCACCATGGTCACCAAGCCAGCAGTCTTCCTGGCCTGCCACCCTCTATGACCTCAGCAACACTAAAATAATTAAACTGCTGAAACAAGGGTAGGCTTAGAATCCAAAACGATATATGTTGAAAAGATTCCCTCCAACTTAGTTTCACTGACACAACACTTTTCTTAAACTTCCAAAGACTGTCACCCTTATCTATATAAGGTTAGAAATTCAGGTGATACTAAGGTACATACTGTTTTCTGTTTTCATTTTGGGTTTTGTGGTGCTGGGGATAGAATCCAGGGCCTCAAACATGCTAAACAAGCATTCTATCGCTGGACTTTCAAACAGCACCTTCATTTTCTTGTAAAAGATACAGCCTCACTATGTAGCACAAGCTGGTCTGGAACTCAAAATCCTCTTGTCTTGGCCTCTTGAGGGCTGGGTACAGGCATGTACCACTGCACCTGCTGTTTTTTGTTTAACAGTGCACATTCCAAGGTCTTCTCCTGGAACTTGCCTGCAAGCCTACCAGAGGAAAAATTATCAATCCCTGTGGTGGTCTTGATAGGAGAGCATCAGCAGAAATACTAAAAGAAAACTAAGACCCAGTAAGAAAACAACTATTTTTCTAAGGCCATAACAAAAGCTAGCTTGAGAAGGAGAGACTCAGCAGCAGAGAGGTGGGATATGACAGCAGAGAGTCAGAAGCCAGTGGGTGCACCTGTCTTTCCATGGTCCTCTTCTGTTCCAGGTCCTGCTTCCTTTTGTTTTTCAGTTCTTCAAACTGTTCTTTGGTTGGCAGTGACATCAAACCCAGTAACTTCTCCTATAGGAGGGTAATAGACAACTTTACACTTATAGTGTTTTCGGGGTGGGGGGACTTGGCTGTAAGCCTTATACACTTAAGGTAAGTCACTCTACCTATTGACAGGAAGGACATTAATGCTATTTGGCAGTCATCTTTCAGATGGACCTACCTTTTTGTTATGAGATGGCCATATCAGATCTCCAAGGTATCTTCCACGCCTGTGCCAGCTTCTCCCTGAGGCTGTGTCCTGACCTCATCCACCATATCTATCCAGACCCCAGCACTCCTTGGTGCCCTTTTTGCTTAATTACTACTCTCAGATCTCTCCCTAGTACTTCTCTAACACACTACATGTTTTAGTAGTGTGTTGTCTGTCCCTTGATATGTAGCCTCACATTTTATCAATGGAAATATTCCCTCCTGGAGAGAAGATGGAGGCTTAAAAGTCATGAAGCTTCAAGAAATTAACAAGACTCAAGAAACTAATGCAACTTCTGAGACTCCTGGCCATCCTAAGATGATATGAGCAGGGTACAACTGCTAGGGCAGAGAAGTCCCCTTAGAGCTACCTGCAACCAAATTATCCAGGGAAGCCTCAATGCAGGGGATATCAGAGGTAGAAAAATGCAACTCTGATCTAATCATCTAGGTTTAGCCTGCTGCTCTTGAACCATTGTCCAGTGACCCAGAAAGAGTCCCTGACGAGAGGAAACATCACTTGCCACTAATACCAAAAACTTAGAATCCATCAACTCCCCAACTAAAATGAAATAGTCCAATAAAGGACAGCAGACACAGCCAACGTACCATTCCATGGTCAAACATAGAAGACTTGGTGATTAAAACAAGACACAAATTTGCAAGCATGTTTGTGAGCGTTAACCTTCCTTGTCTATTTTTAAATGGGTTTAGAATCAAAGCACACCTCTAGGTGTGTCCATAAAGGTCTTTCCAGAAAAGTTTGAGGTAGGAAGACCCAATCTGGTGTGGTTGGGTCTGAGTTGGGCTCCTGGACTGAATGAAAAGGAGAAAGCAAGCTGAGCACCAGCATTCATCTCTCTCTGCTTCTTAACTGCAGATATAACATGTTCAGTTGCCTCCTGCTACCAAGACCACCCCACCATGATAAGACTTCAAACTGTGACCCAAATCAAGTCTTTCTTAAGTTTATCAATTATTTTCTCACAGCAATGAGAAAACTAATACAATAAGCCAATTTCCAACATAAAAAGTATAAATAGAGAAAAAGAAATTAAGAAAGAAAACACACCAGCATGAAGAACAACTATATTGGAGACACAGGATTAAAAGCTGTTTTAAACACAAGAGCTGCAGAGATGGCTCAGGAGTGAGAAAAACCTGAATTTGGTTCCCAGATCCAGCTCACAACTGTCTGTAACTTCAGATCCAATGCCTTCTTTGGACTCTGCAGTACATGCATTCACATGTCCATCAACCCACATGTCGACACACACACATACGATAAAAGAAATCAAAAGAACAAAACAAAGCAACCCAAGACCTATACACACACACACACACACACACACACACACACACACACACACACACA